TGCCAAGATCCGCAAGGTTCGAGACCGTCAGGACAATCCCTGGTACAACGGCGAGATTACTGCTGAGAAACGTAAACGTAGGCAGCTTGAGCGGAGATGGCGATCTAACGGCAAGCTTCACATTGACAAAGAGATGTTCCGTGCGCAACGAGATTTCACGAACTCTCTCGTCGAACGAGCCAAACGTTCGTACTTTGTCGGGCTAATCGATAAATGTGGACATGACTCTAAGAAACTCTTCTCTACGGCCAATCGTCTCTTGAATCGGAAACAGAACTCTCCACTTCCAAGACATTCTGATAGTAAAGAACTGGCTCAAAGATTTATTCAGTTCTTCCGCTCCAAGGTTCAGAAGATCCAGGACAGTCTCACTCCTGACTTAACTCCACCTGATCCTGTCACGTCAGCATCCCTCGAGACGATTCAACCTACCACCTCCGATGAGATACAATTACTGCTTCATAGATTGCCAGCTAAGTCGTGTAAACTAGACCCTGTCTATACTGTTCTCATTAAGGATTGCTCCTCTTCATTTGCATCTGTTATCTCACAGATTGTCAACTTAAGTATTGTTCAGGCATGCGTACCTTCTGTTCTTAAAACGGCACACATTCTTCCTTTACTGAAGAAACCCAATCTTGATTCTGAATTACTAAGTAATTACCGTCCAGTTTCTAATCTCCCGTTTTTATTTAAAATACTTGAGAGGGTGGTGTTCTCTAGATTAAATGATTTCTGTCTCGATAATGACCTCCTTGACCCATTTCAATCTGCATACCGTCCCCACCACAGTGTAGAAACCCTCCTTGTTAATGTATCCAACTTTATACTCCAGGAGATGGATGGCGGAAAAGTAACTGCTATGGTACTCCTTGATTTGTCTTCCGCCTTTGACACTGTTAACCACACTGTTCTGGTGAATACCCTCATGTCACTCGGTATTAAAGGTCAAGCCCTGGAATGGTTTAAATCATACCTGTCATGCCATTCTCAAGCTGTCTTGATAAACGGCTACCTTTCAGATTTTGTACCACTTACATGCGGAGTTCCACAAGGCTCTGTGGGCGGGCCCACGCTTTTTTCGTTATATTTAACGGGTTTGAAGAGTATTTTTCATCGCCATTCTCTCTCTTATCATGTTTATGCTGATGATATTCAAATATATACTTCTTTCAAACCCAATCAGAGCAATGCAGCCAGCGCTATCCATAACATTGAGACTTGTGTACAAGATGTTCATAATTGGTTAAACTCACATTCACTGAAATTAAATCTCGCCAAATGCGAATTTATAATGTATGGTTCTGAGACTCAGTTAGAGAAGATTTCTTCCATCACTTCAATTACTCTTGCTGGACATGAAATTACCCTATCTAATGTATGTCGCAACCTTGGTGTGTTTCTCGACTCAAACATGAAAATGTCTACTCAAATTAATTTAGCTTATAATTGATTACCATTACCTTTCATGTCTGTACCTTTCCTATCGCACTTTGTATAAATGTATCATGTATGTATTTCATCTTTTGCACAAGCTGCGCCTTGAGCATTTGACTGTCAAGTGGATTTGGCGCCTTATAAATCATATGTATTTATTATTATTATTATTATTATTATTATTATTATTATTATTATTATTATTATTATTATTATTATGTTTATAATTATTATGAATGATGATGTACATCGTAATCCAACGCTTTACTCCTTAACCGTAACAGTTCATTCATTACGGTAACCAGATATTAATAAAAAGTACAAATGATCTGTCACCAGCATTCTCTAATGACCAATCATTTAATGCTCCATATCTTAATTTATCAGTCGACTCTAGATCATTCTATACAATTTGGAACGAGGATCTTTCATCAAGTAACATCCTCGTCACCATTGTATAAAATAATAAATAACAGAAATAGTCCGAACATTTTTTGCTTGGGTCTCTGGCGTTTTTTGCGTGGACATTTCTCACTAATGCCCTCACTGTAGTGTTGTTCACTATCTGAACACTAACGACCTCATGTTATTGAGTATTTCATTTATAAGCTATATTCTTCTAAAAAATACCTTTTCTGGTAATTTGAGAGCATCAAACCAGGCTGACAGATAGCGGTAGTGATCCAAGAAGCGGTAGGAATGGCTAGCCAGCTTATCAGACCGGCCCATCCCAATGAGATCAGGAGCCAGACACCTGGCGATGGGTTCTACTTGGGGTATAACATTCCTCCAAAGATACGAAGACGTTGGGTTGCCGTGCAGGAACACGGCCGTATTAGGGAGGCCAATGCCCGGTCGGCGTCTTATTTTTTCGTACCACGGCGAGCCCGGATTCCTGTTTTATCATGAATATTCATTAGGCAGGGCCGGGGAAAGTCTCGATTCTCTTGAATATTCATGTATGATCGAGGCATGCGCAGCATCGAATATCGTGTGTAACAAGTACGTTGGATTAATGGCAGGCCTATAATATGACATAGAAAAGCAATGTCATGGTCATTTAGATAATACAGTCATAAATGCTGTGTTTAATTACTAGTAAATGCCAAAATGTCAGTACCGGTAGACAAGATATATAGCATATATTTCAAGTAAGAGTCTTGATAGGCAATTTGTGAGTAGCCTAGGCCTACTTTTCTGAGATTAATGGGAGTCTAGTTCTTTTCATGAATTGGTAAATAATCAGTTCTAGGTTTGCTTTTTAAATATTACAAGCAGAGGTTGCATTATGGTATTGAATATGTGATACAGTATTATAAACTGTATAAAATAGATAACAAGAATAGGCCTACATACAGACATTTATCAAAAATAAAATACTTGTGTATTGCACTTAAATTATTTCTATGATCTATGCTCACTTAACTGCATAAGGAAGAAAAGGAAGAAAGAAAAATGGGATTAGAAAGAAGAATAACAAAGTTAAAAAGTAAAATATATATAAATAATAAATAATAATAATAATACAGAGTCTTTGTACTGCGCCAACTCCACATGAATAATGTGTTCGAGGCGCATGGAGAAGAAAAGATATAAGTACACAAGAAAATACACACAAAAATGAACGACGACAATGTGAAAATAAAACTAAATCTACTGAAAAGCTGCTTTGAACAAATGAATGGAAGAAATAAAGAATACGGAATAGATACCAAGGAAGAAAGAAATAAATTGCAAGAAAATTGAAATGAAAAGAAGACAAAAGAAAAAGGGAAAGGAGCAAGATAATATTGATACCATATCTTCAATCTTGTTTTCTTTTATCTTGCCTCTTGTTTTTGTTTAGGCCTAGCTACCATTTTTTCCTTTCCTTTCTCATTTTCTCTTAAAAGTTCTCTTTGGTTTCTTTCTAAAATAATGAGGGAAGGGGGGGGGGGTGGGGGACTCGATGATAATTCATCATTTGAAGGTTTACAATGTGAAGTCCATGAGTTATATGCACCCACTGAAGAAAATCCATGTATAGGGTTGCTGCAGGAACCCCAGCACCCACAGATCCCACGCATGATGAGACAAACTCGAGAGAAAACTACACATTCTTTCACATACATTGAAGAAAAAAAAGAAGAAAAAAAAAAATCCAAGATCGGTTGAACTCTTTTTGACCCCTCCCCAGGACGTCGATCAATTACATGTATGTGCCCCCCTCCCCCCAAACTCTGGCTACGGCCCTGGCGATAATTACCCACTATTCAAATCTGACAGGTGCCCCTTTTTCTTCAACAAATGCCCCTTTAACTTCATAAGTGCCACTGTTCCATTTTCATAAGTGCCCCTTGTGATATCTGATAAAAGCCCTTTCATTTTTTTTTACTTTGACACGCGTCCCCTTAAACTTTCTAACAAGTGCCCTTTTACCTTTTGATATGTGCCCCTTTCCCTGTTTAATAGGAGCCCCAACCCCAACCCTTTCTCATAAATGCCCCTTTGACACATGCCCCCTTTTCCTTTTTTTATAATTCCCCTTTTCTCTCTTTCTCTGTCTTTCGAAAACTATCTTCTGCAAGGTTTGTTCTCTTGACTGAGCAACCTGTTGGAATTCCTTTCTGTCTCACTTTCAGTCGTACTTGTTGCCACTCATTTGCATTCACTCGTTATCAACTACCATCAACCATTCCATATTCACTCCATTACTGTCCACATTTCAATTTCATTCTCTTCACTCTCCCTTTTTGCAGCCTTTCCAGGAGCTTTGCTAGAAGTAGAACATTTTTAATGTAGAGGCCAGAGAAACCGGAAAGTATGTTAATCATTTTATTCAAATATCTAACTTGAAAAAAAGGAAAGTGAAACATTGTTTAATTACAATATATTGACATAATTTTGTTAAACAAAAAATTTGAATTTAACACTGGAAATTTGTAATTGGTTTGCCAGCCCCCCCCCCCCCCCCACACACACACTCAAAACACAACAGTGGTACTAGGGTTTTTGTTAGGAGGCCCATGTACTGTATAATTTTTATTCTTAAGAATAGTTTTCTCTTTTTTATTAATTTGACATTGGCATACCGTAAATTTCACCAGGAACCCCCCCCCCCCCTCCCCCACATTAACAATCGACACTGCCATTACTTCTACCAACAGTAATGCTATAATTCAAAATTTCACTTTCTAAATCCTTCTAATATAAACATATAATCATATTTGTACAGAGGATAAGATAAGAGGATAGAAAGCCCCCCCCCCCCCCCCCCCCACTCCCTGTTTTCTTTAGTTGGGAAGCATCGAAACATAATTCTATGAAAGCTACCAGTTTGGATACGAAAGGCAATGAGGATTAGCAGTTTCCATATTTAATGCATATAGAGCGTTGTCTTTCAAACCTTCTTACATACAATACTTGAAGTAGCAATAATTTCATAATCTACAAAACTTCCCATACAGAAGTCCATAGAGGTAAATGAATTTTAACATGTATATTTATAATCAAAATATCATTGATTAATTCAATCTTTGATATAGACTGATAGACCTTTATCAATCAAATTTGAAGGAGAATCTTTCTGCCCAGTCCTCAGTTTCATCCTATAAGATGGTAGTTGACATTGTTAGAATTTTAATGTTTATTCGTTGAGGATTAGTTATCTTTAATTATTTGAAAGTCGACAAGATGATAAACTTCATTAGCTTTCTTGAATGTAGTATTCTACAAATATATAATACAAATAACAAATAAATATCATGTAAATATTCCAGTTTAAACCCATCTCTATTGTCCTCTTTCATTATATGAGGGTGGCATCTTTAAGACGTAGTCTCGTGTAGATATCTTCTGCATCCATCACTAAAGTTGTAGCCTAGTTTTCAGAAAAAAATATAACCCAAGTCTGTTGAATGGAAAAATGAAATAAGATATAAAAAAATCAACAATGACTAATAACATACACCCTGATACCTGCTCAGAAAAAGGAAGGACTGAAATTCACTTGGGGTTCTAGTGGGCAAACCTAAACTATTTTTTGTACAAGACTAGTTTAAATACTGACCGCATCTTAAATTATTACTGATGATCCCATTAAGACGATAGGCCTACTGGAGCTCGGATCAGACAAGGTATGAAATAAGTAATACAATGTAATACAACTCGTGCTCATACCGGTAATTGAATAATACTCGGTTAAGTATGGGACATAAAATGACCAAACAACTTTGACCAGAGAATGTACTGGAAATAATGCTACTGAAACATACGTAATGTAGACTTATATTTCATCTATATTGACATTTAATTTTTAATCTAAATTACAATTGTGATATTAAGTCAATTATTCTTTTACAAGTCAACTGACAATGAAAAATATCTGTTTCAGATCTATAATTTTCTCCATGACATTTGTTCCACAAAAATTTATTGGGGGTACCTTCATGTATATTAGCACACTTGCTCGTATGAAGTGTAGTAGGCCCGCATCTCTAGATATGATCCCGTCAACATCTGTTCTTTGTTCCTCTCCTGAGTTTGCAAACCAGAATGCCTTCATCATCCACTGTAGAGAGGCATCATCCTACATGAGAGAAAACAAAGTAGGTACATGTACTTCAATTAAAAACTGATACTGATGGATACATATCAACCATAATACATCCTATAAACAGACTTTTATCAATCTTATTTTGTGTTCTTCTTCATCTTCATTGCTCAAGAAGTGAAAGTACCCCTTACAAAAAAAAATAATGAGGGGTCCTGTGTATACCCTACATGTAGTGCTTACAATGTGCATTTGATATGGCTCTTCTAAACACAGGACCTCCTGTAAATAAGGACAAATTTTCCTTTGTAAACATAGAAAGAAAAGACATCAATATTTGTATACTAGGTGCAGAACTAGAATAAAATATACCCTCCACTATATATGCTTGCAATGTCAACTTAGTTCCATTTCCTTTTGAGTGAATTAATAGGTGGTCGTTTAATATGTGTGTGCTAAATAACCTGATAACTGTACCTGCATGGGACTTTCTGCTTCATCTTGCAAATATAAGAGATGTTGTAATATCCTCCTTCCAGCTCTTCAGTTTCAATCTTTTGGAACAAAAAGAAGAAGAAAATCAATACGACAATCAAGGCATCCCTTTCTCCTTAACAAAATAAAATAGATCTAGCATAATTCAAATTAATAGATATTTTTATGTCATGGTTGGTCTTAATTTTAATATGGTGTGGAAATCAACATTCCTATTTAATGAACCACAGTACAAAGTAAAACTAAATGGAAGATTTAACTTGTGCATCAAACAGTGGTTTCTATGGCCTATGAACACGAAGCAGTACTAAGTAGAATTAGTTTATTATAACAAGAAGAGGTGGACTACATACCATATAATCAGAGGCGGCGCTCCGAGAGGGGGGGGGGGCAGAGTGCCCTCCCATTTGGTCAAGTACCCTAAAAGTGCCCCTTTTTACATAGGAAAGTGCCCCTATTAAGTTTTTAAAGTGCCCCTTCCCCTTTTAATAACTACCCCTTTTAACTTGGATAAGCGCACCTTATATCTTCACATGTGCTCCCTTTCATTTTTAATAAGTGCCCCTTTTTCTTATAAGTGCCCCCATTTAAAAATAGGCCCTTTCCCTTCTCATAAATGCCCCTTTTCATCTATGAAAATAGTTCCTTTTCATTCTCTTAAGTGCCCCTTTTCATCTCTTATAAATGACCCTATTCACTTCCGAGAGATACTTGTTTTACTTTGACAAGCACCCCTTCCCCTCCTAGTCAGTACTCTTTTCATCTCTTATAAATGCCCCTTTTATTTTGACACGTCCTCCTTTTCCTTCCTATATAATGCCTTTTTTCCTTATAAGCACCCTTACCCCTTATCATAATTACCGGTACCACTTTTCGTCTTTGATAAGTGCCCCGTTTATTTAAACATGTGCCACTTTTTCTTTTTAATAAGAGCCACTTCCCCTTCTCATTACCCTTTTAACAATGATATGTACCCTATTTCCTTTCTTATAAAGAACCTATCCCTTTTTCATAAATGCCCCTTTTCACTGCTTATAAATGCCCCCTATCAAAATCTGATGGGTGCCTCTTTTCCGTCGACAAATGCCCATGTTCTTATCATCCCTGGTGCATGCCTCTTTGTTTAGGTGTAAGAAGTGCCCCATTTTCACCTCTGATAATTAGCCTTTGTACTTTGACACATGCTTCTTTTCTTTTCTGATAAGTGTCTTAACCCTTTCGATAAGTGTCCCCTTTTCCTCTCATCATTAAACGTGTCCCTAATTTCAAGCGACTAAAAGCAATTTCCCACAAAGCTCGCTCGCTACGCTTGCCCATAGTTATAGATGTTATAATTATGTAACTTATCACAGATCTATTCAGTCTTCCGTTATGAGATTGTGCTTATAACCCCATCAGGATTGGGTTTTCCTCTTTATAAGATGTAATTTTTCGCACTGCAAGCCAAAAACTGCAAATTATGATACTTAAGCAATATCTTAAATGCTGTATTAAGAGAAACAAATATTGAAATCATCCCTGATAATGTAATCACAAAATAGGGGTATATACCAATGTCAACAAAATGGTATATTTTCCCTCTGAAGGTGCCCTTTTTTCAAGAAAGTGCCCTTTTTGTTGGTGCCCCCACCCCCCCCCCCCCCCCCCCCCCCCACTTTGGAAGTTGCTCCGCCGCCTCTGCGTATAAGTAAACATAGTTGTCGACTACCCCAGGGGTCTTCTCTTATACAACGTCCAACAAAAAATAGATTTATCAAATGAACTGCACACTTTGGAGAAGAAAAAATCTTTAATATAGGTCTAGATCTAGAAAAGTTATGACAGCTTGACAAGCACACTGGACACACACAACATCTGAACATTAAATAAATGAATCCTAGGTCTAGTTTGTTTGTTTTTGAATATTTTTATTAATAAGTTCCAGGTTTACGTCTAAATGAAATATGGTTTGGAGCTGTTTGATTATCCATGGTCACAAACAATTTTGGTCTAAAAGTTGCCACGCACCAATGATGCAACTGAGCGAACGGATAGCACTTAGTCTTAGTAATACTAGTATAGCCAACAGAGTCGACATCTACTAAAGATATAAACAAGAATTAACCCTCTTGGATTATTAAAGAAATCATACTTCATAGATTATTTTAAGGTGTAACGTTAAATCTAGATTTAAATTCAATGGATGATTGGTGAATTAGATTCACGATGACGATCAAATTTGTAATAAAACCTGATCAGAAAGTTTTATCTTGATGCAGATGAGCACCGAAATTCCCCAACGTGGGCCTGCCGGAACCCCGGGGCTCTAAAGGGTGACATGAAGGCAAACCGCAGTCAAACTACTTCACGACGATGAAAATCAAAGTGCAATTTCAAGAGAAATATTTTCCTAGCCTTTTCCCCACAAATCTGTTGAGAACAGTCTCAAAATGTAAAGAAATTACAGTAGATCACGAATTACAGCTTTTTCAAATTAATGACTAAATTCTCTTAATCTAGACCTAGATCTACTGATATTTCAATCAATTACTCACCCATATGCATTCTCCGTGAACTAAATCTTCTCACTTTGTGCGAGTATAGCGCGCGTCGTGCATTCCCACCTCGATATGAATATTTAAGAGAATCGAGACTTTCCCCGACCCTGCCTAATGAATATTCATGATAAAACAGGAATCCGGCCTCGCCGTGGTACGAAAAAATAAGACGCTGCCCGGGCGTAAGGCTTCTACACCTACGATTTGTGCGCTCGTCGCCCACTTCAAAAAATTAGCAAAGGGAAAAAAATGATGTAAAAATAAAAATTGAAGAAAATATGAAAAGAAAATACAATTATACATTTCACAACATACCTATAATCACGGATCTGTAACAGTCTTTCACCATTTGTTGACAATCTTGCAGATTTTGACGTTTTTTAATCCAATAATTGTGGTTGCAGACGACCTTGACGCACTCGCACCACCGACTAAGAAAATCCTAGAGGGCGTAGAGGTTTGCTCACTAAAAACCTTCTCATTGGCAGAAGGTAGACCCTAAAAATATGGGATCCGTTTTGAGTAAAGAACTTTTGATAGAGATCAACATTTCAGATGTTCACAATTGCCACTTCTAACAACTAGAAAATATAAAGAAAAAAGATTATATCTTTTTAAATACAGATTTTTACAAACTGAACATTCGAAAGTAGATAGAGTACGATGTTTCTGTCAATCTTGCGTTGGTTTGAGCCCTATAGCTACATCCATCTCAAAATGAGAAGGAAAACAGTGAACAGTGACGTCATTGTTCGCGCCAAAAATAAAGGGTATTGCGACATAATCTGAGCTCCGGTCAGAGCGTGCCCAAAGCGTAGTCTTATTTATAGACCCTAGTACCTTATTCTCACAGCACTAGATACGAGTGTCGTGCAGTAATGTATGAGAAGTGTTAAAAAAGATATTTCAGTAAAAAAAAAAAGTCTACGTGAGCAGTCTATACTCCAATTGAGAATTGAAATGAAAGCCATGATTTGAAGGTGTGTGTTGTATATGATACATGGTTAGTGAGTGTGTATGTTACGTATAGCGAAAGGGAGAGAGAGAGAGAGAGAGAGAGTGAGAGAAATATTAGTACACGTACGTTGCATGCATGGATGTGCGCTATGATTGTGTTCGCTGCAAGATGGATTTTAATTGGACCTCGTAACTTCTCGATCGTTGATAATAAGGAATACTCATGAGGAAATCAAATTATTGGAATACACATCTAAGGTAAATATCAATGAATTATATATATTTCTTTCCTTTTTTGAACCATCGTCTTCGGCTCGTAGTAGTAGAAGATGTAATCGTTCGCACATTGATGGCTGGACTTCAGCCTGCATCGGGGCTTGCCTGTGTCGGTGGAGGGATCAACTAAGAAGAAGAAGGTGTGTACGTGTGCGACCGATTCAAGGCTAGCCGCTGTTGAGTGATTGCACTTTCGCGCGAAGTTTTAAACTTCATCATGAACTTTGTCCCTCGGGCCTGTCTAATTATGAACGTAACTTTGCGACATGAAATATAATTGTTTCAAGGCTCTTACGTACGGAAAGGCGTAGAAGGAAATGGCTACAAACCAGCTGGATATCTCCTATTTGATGGAACCTATGGAGTCGGCAGATGGGTGGATTTTCTTAGTGAAAGTAAATGCTTTCTTTTAATCTTAGTTTTAGTATAAACAAATTAGTAATTAAAAAGTTAGATTTGGGCATTGGCCTCCCTAGCCGTATGCTTACCGCTCCTATTCTGGGAATCGGAGTCGTAATAGGACATCTTCGAACCTAAAACATCGACTTTCTTGCATTTTCCCCACCATTCATCAGCCGTCACGAGAGGTATCGTCGACTGAAAACGCGAGACCACTCTGGCAACTAGATGTACGCTAGCAATATGTTTATGTCCCAACATGGTTTGCAGACGACTTCCAATAGAACGGAACGCCATCTTGCCGAGCCTGACTATTAAAACTTGACCCCGTATCAAATGTATTGAACCTGTTCCAATTTTCGGTTTGCATACATGCACTTAAGTGGGAACAGTGTTCTGGTGCGCCATGCATTATGGGATATCTTGATATGAATAGGTGCCTGGACGGGAGGGAGCTGGGATCGAAGTGTGCTCCTGAATCGGCCGTTACGAGAGGAATCGTAGTCTGGTTGCGTGAAGCCATTCTTGAAATTAGCCTACTATTAGTTATGAAACGTTTTGAACCCAATATGATTTGCAGGCTTGCCAACGAACGGAGCCCCTTTATAGTACCGCGGATGAGTTGCCAAGTGTTAGTATTGGGCCCTAAGTCAACAATGAAATGGCAATATTTCTCTCTCTTTTTTCTTTGAACTTGTACTTCCACAAAATGTAAATAACCATGAGCGTTCCCGAAAGCGTTCCCAGGGTGGTATCACCTAGGTCGGGAAGCTGCATACTTTCCCAACGCTTTTTTGTACGCACACAATATTAGCGTAGCCGGGTTGTGGCCAAGTGTTAGTATTGGGCCCCAGGCTAAGTCAACAATGAGATGGCAATTTTTCTCTCTCTTTTTTCTTTGAACTTGTACTTCCACAAATAACCATGAGCGTTCCCGAAAGACAGATCTATTGTAGACATTTCGAATGATGAACCTTACCCTGGTTAATACATGTTTTTGATGCATGATTTTGGCTAAATCACACTTTTGAAATAGCATTCCATTTATTGTTGCTGCAATCTCTTTCGTATTGTGGGAGATTAATGCAGGTTGTACTGGAGCTGTTATTTCGATTAGGTTATTATAATGATTGTTATAATAATTAAAGGCAACTTAATGATGCAATTTGTCGAGGAGGAACAGCATTTTCAAAATGGTGGATTTGCACTTTCAACATGGTGTAGATAATGAAGAACAGTTTAAATCCAAATCATTGTCAACCTTATCCCTTCATATATAAATATAATCTATTAAAATTTGAAAAGAAAAGGTCATACGAGAATCTATTCACAGTTGAGAAATGATTGAATAGAAATGTTGATAGTTTGAATCTACGATATTGAAGGTTATTTGCACTATGGTCAAATTGACGAGTTTCGGGTTGAATATTGAAAAGCTGTTTCCTTTTTAGGAATCGGTCGTCATGGGAGTGTAACATTTAGAAAATGATAAAAGGAAAAAAATTAACATTAGAGTAAATCTACAATATGGACACAAATTGCCACTCCTCGGCCCCTTTAAAATTGACCTTACATTTGAGGCTTTGGAGCGTGATCTGTAAAGTCTGTGTAAGCAAATAGGCTCATTCTCAGTTGATTTAACGCAATGTCTGCATTGCCGAATTGCTTTCAATCATGTCCCCACACTCATATGGCATGTCAATGACCTTACTAGTCGCTTATAATGCAGTTCTATTTCAGACAAAATGAATGACGCCCAGTGCACAATGGGTGTCACAACTTGGACCGTCCGTTATACCCCGTTCACACAGTCGACGCCGCTTCTACTACGATGTGGCCGAGAGCGTGGCCAATCGGGGCCAATCGTAGGCCAAACGTGGGAGGATCTCCACGAGCCTGGTTTGGTCGGGGTGGGATCACCGGGTCGGCCGGGAAGCTGCACGGCACGCTTTTTTTTTGAACGTGCACAAAATTAGCGTAGCCGGGTCGTGGCCATCAAAAATTGGCGCAAAGTCTTAATTAAGAACGTAGTGGGAACGCCATTAGCAAACAAGCAGTGTGGTAGCACCGTGGTAAGATCTATGTGGTCGTAATAAAAACGCAGCACCGTCGGCAACTATTTCGAGCCGTTTCCGATCGATATAGACATCGCTACAAATCGTACTAGAAGTGTAATATGGTCGCCATCAGCGTAGCGATATCGTCCTACAGTCTTCTAAGTCTCTGTAACAACGTAGTAAAAACAACCGCTTGGTCGGCATTGGTCTAGGTGTAATCGTAGTGGCAGCGAGTCAACAGGCTTTTGACGTAGAATCATCGCAATACAGTCGTGATGTATAGTCTTTAAAAATGCCAAATTGCTGGATTTCGAAGTCGATAATGCCCCGACTTGATATTTTTTTTCAGTTCGGGGTGACCGACAAGGTCTTCGTAAGATCACAGACCTGTGTGAACGGGGTATTAGCGGACAGCTATATATAGTTGTAAGGTCCGCCGTATCTGCGCTGTCATGCATTTGGAAAAATAACAGAGGAATAAATGTAGCGAGGAAAAAATCATCATCACAAAATTTATCTCATCAGAAGACTCTCTGAGAGAACGGGGATAGTTCTTGGTGGAACAACCAATTTGCTGTTTGTGAGACGGGTAAGGAGTCAACGAGTAATGACCTACAGCGCATGTAATCCCTAAAAAACATGCTGTAAATTAATTTCAAACTTTTTCAATTGATTTATATCGATGCCTTTTTTCAGGGACATTCCCATTTAGGGTCGTTGCACCCCATTTCCAGTATGGAAAAAAAAACCTGAAATATTGCACAATAAACTCTAAATTCTGTGCAACCCGAAAATTGTGTGTCAAGAATGACGCGACTTTTTAAATTTTGTTGTTTGTAGGCTATTTCATTATAGTCTCAAATTCTGTACCCACCAAAATGTAAACAAATAAGTGTCGGAGAAAACGTTCACTTAAGAGTGTGATTGTATAACCCTTAACCTGGATAAACAGATTTTCTTTAAATAAAGAAGAAAACAAATGTTTGCTGAATCATACTCTAACCTTGCATTTTGGTCGTGGCCACGATTTACGCTCATGTGTGCAACATAGCTCATCTGTACGTCCGTCCGCCTCTCTTAAAATCTCTCTCTCTCTCTTTAAAGACAGGTCTTATTATTTTCAGCATTCCCCATTCTCATTATTTTCAAGTCCGATATCCTTCTATAATCATCTCTATATTCTTAAATCCCTCTTCTTTCCCTTATCCCTCAACCCTTCTCTCTCTCTATTTTTCTCTCTCTCTCTCTCTCTTTCTCACTCTCTCTCTCTCTCTCTCGTTCCATATCCTTCTTTCTCTTCCTTCATATATCAGCCTCTCTCTTTTTACTTTCATTCTTCTCTCTCTTTCTCTCTCCCATATTTCTTATATTGTTTGCTTGTTGCAGGACTGGTGTACAGTTTAATATTGCTTTTTTGTCCCCCTTTTGCATTTTCTTTAACCTTTCTATCCATCCCCTTGCCTTAACCCCTCTTTCAATATCCACGTCACATATTATGATTCTATCTTTCCTCATGCACGCAATCTTTCTCTCATCACAGCTCCTACATTAACCCTTCGGTTGCTTTCTTCGCCCGTGTGCACGGTCACTCATTTGCAACACGTGCAATTTCGCACAAAATAATACGCACAAATTGATGGAACGGTTGCTTTGTGCATAACAATGGCATGGAAACCCTTTTAACACGGGTATAGATTAATTGTGTGCGGGAAACAGTTTAATTATCTTGATACCCTTTGGTATATCTATGCCATGGTAAATACAATGTGGCATAGAATGATTATTTGTGTAGTATATTAAAGAGTTAAGACACAGTGAAAGAAGAAGCATGTGACACCTTCAATGTTGAGATAGGAAGTTTTATTATACAAAATGTTCAGTGAAGCATAGTCATGTCAAGTAAACACACTAAAATATAAGGTCGCAAACAATATGACAAAGGAGGAAGCAACGATTGTAAGGTAAATATCACAATTTAAAATCTTAACGTAAGAAAACAAAGCAAATAATCTAGCATTTTGCGGGCTATGTATTGTTGCTCTCAAAGAAAAATTAGTGATGCAATACACAGTTCGTGTTCTTTTTTCTAGCTTTACTTCATCTGACAGGAGAAGGGGAAGTGCGATTTAAAAGTACGGTATGAATTTTCTTCCTTATACTACACTTATCAATAATTTTCATTAAGATGTATGCATATCTCCCACCCCCTCCTCTTTCCGTTTTTCTCTAATGTTTTTTCCCTATTCATGTTATTTCTATTTTTAACGTTTGTATGCAACTGCAGTTTTTCTTGTAAATACTCTTATTTTCAGTTCTTAAATTTGTATTTTCCTTCTACATGCAAGACCATTATGTAAAACAGCCTGCGATCTGATCAACGTTATCCTGTTAAAAGATGTTTTAATAAATAAATAAATCAATAAATTTACAACACCTCACCCCCTTCCAGATGCAAGGGATAGATACGTCACTGTTCGGAAAGTGTTTACATTTTTCGTTGTTTCATCTTTTCTTACGTCATATGAAAACTGTCTTATTTTACAGTTTTCCTATGAACAACGACAATGGAAAAATATTGGTCGCATTAATCCCGCCATTTAATAAGCTAACAAGAACCACAAGTTAGGCCTATATACGTCACTGATCAGAAAGCTTTGACATTTTTCGATTTGCTTTTCAATATAATTTAATCTTTTCTTATGTCATATGTAAATTGTCTTATTTTACAGTCTGCTTATGAACAAAGACAACGGCAAAATATTGATCGCATTAAATCCCGCCATTTAATATGCTAACACGAATTACGGACTAGAGAGTGTAATTATTGGAATGCATACTTAGTTTTCTTATGAAACCGAATAGTAAAATGTAGAAAAGGAAAGGAGGTTCTCGCAAAATATTGGTCGCATAAAAGCCCACTACTAAGTCAACACGGGCAAAATTATCACGGAGTAGGAGATGTTTTAACAATCATTTAGATTAATTATTATATATGCAACCAAGACCGAAAAGGAAGACTTACTTCATGTTTCTAAATATGTCTAATTATAGATGTTGATATACATCTCGTCTCTTTTAATTACAAAGACGTTATGGGTGTGTTTTATACTATGTTTCACCAATTTAAATTGTAAATCCCGCCCCTATTTCTATCTCTCTCTATCTCTCTGTCTCTCTCTTCCACCCTCTCTCTCTCTCTTCCTCTCTCTTTCTCCTTCCCTCCCTCTCGCTTTCTCTCTCTGTCTCTCTCTGTCTCTCTCTGTCTCTCTCTGTCTCTCTCTTCCTATCTCTCTCTCTCTCTCTTTCGCCCTCTCTCTCTTTTTGTCTTTCTATCGGTCTTTCTCTGTCTTTTTTCTTTCTCTCCTCTATCGTTTAACTCTCATTTCTCCCTGTTATCCTCTCCCATTTCTCTCTCTCACCCTCAATCTCTTTACTCCCATGTTTTCTCTCTCTCAACTCCCTCTTCCCTTCTACAAAATTCTAAAAAAAGCTTCTAAAAGTTTCCACAATTACCATATTTGATCACTTAATCAAAAGTGCGTTACTATACAAGCACAAAACTAACTTCATAAAGCATGTACAATGCACTGTGTAAGAAAGTTCTACATGTATTACTTATTATACTAGAAGTCACACATATATATCTTATTAAATAAACAAACAAACTAACTCTCAAAATGCATAAGAAAATAAATTGCCATTACCTTATATTTGTAATAAAACCACATTATTGATTTAACAAAGACAACATATTTGCGATACAGGTACATGCATATATGAATTTAGCATTTTGTTTCATTAGAGTAGTAGATATACTTCGACATTGAAATGATTTCATTCGATATTAAAACAAAACAAATATACAAGTTAAACAAACGTGAGAGAGCAAGCAATAAAAACAAGAACAAATATATTAGATCAATAAAGAAGTAAAATATCAAGCAGAGATACTTAAGTTGAAATTTAAATGATTATCACAAAAGAAATTACAGTCTACGGGTGTTTTGGTTCTGATTTACTGTTTTCATTGTAAGGTATTGCTACTCTATACAGTTGACCACTAAATTGTATATATACCATCACCAAGTTTTGTAATTTCTCAAGTATGTGTAAAATTGATTTGTCCCGATTTATACTTCTTGAGAATGTGACAAATTAAAACTTACTTCTAAAAGTATTCAAGATATTCCTCAATTAAACAAGTCCAAGTTTCATTTATGAGTTACAAAAAACAAAACATTTTGTTTTTGTAATTACAAGGGGTATGGATATATTGTTAACTGTCCTTAAATGTCCTTAGCTGGCCTCCTAAGAAGTAAAATGGGGAAATGTCAGAGAAAAAATGACAGAAGTAAAGTATCTGAGATCATATATCACAGGTAAAAAAGATCACTTTACGAAAGAGAAAAGGTGGTCCCATACTCTCAAAAATTCTGTCAAGAAAAGAAAGAGAGAAATGAAGAAGAAGAGAGGGAAAGAAGAAGAAAGAGGAGGAAAAAGAGAAGGAGAGGAAGAAGAAAAAGAGTATGTCATTAGATTTTGGGAAAGTAATTTCCACAACAAGAAAGCCGACAAATCGGGGTCTTGGTTCACAAACCGCCTTTGTACGTTAGGATGTATGTAATTTATAAATTAAGTATGTTTACATTTGTTATGTCAATTGTTGCATTAGAACACCCTCTAAAAAAAATTCTCAGATCTGTCCCTGGTGTATAATTATGATCCGTCTATTTGAAGATACTTGATAGGAATTCCTTGATGTAATCCCCGGTCTGGATGGGTGAATCTTCCTGAAAGATATGCGACCCTTCAACCTGGACTACCTTGTGATTCGGCCAATCCTTCGTAATCCCCGTGCCCCATTCAGTGAACATTCCAGGAATTGGGACGATGCGAAGCTTTGGGAGATCCTCAGTCCCCTTGATCCAGGCGTGGTAGGCCGTAGCTATGGCGACCGTTTCCTCTGGGCCCTCTCCCTGGATGGGGATTTGACGGGGGAAGGTGAGCAGAGGGCGTCGGTCCTCTCCAGGGTTCTTGAATGGCTCCCGGTAAGCGTCCATCTCCTCCTGGCGAAGCGTCCGCTTGATGGCGAGCGGGAGGATGGTTTCTATGAACATGTTCTTCTCTAGGATCATCTCTTCGCCGGCATCCGAGCGGAACGCCAGGAAGATGTCCCGCATAGAGTCAGTCATGATGTCCCAAGGCATTGGCTGGTAGAGGCCTTCCATGTGGACGATAGCTAAAGAAATGGTGAAAAGTCATACTGTTTAAGTTAACCATCAAAATGTGCCCCTCTGCTTTTTGTCCGTGAGGGTATCTAAAAATATAAAAACGTCTTTCGGGATAGGCTAATGTCCGATAATTTCTAAATAAAAAAGTATCTTAAAATATGATAAAATGTTTACATTTTTTAGCTTGACATCAGCTAAACATCAGGGATTAATTAACCTATTTCTAATAATCATAAAATACAACAGTCTATAGCCAGTTCCATTGACACTGGGGCATGCCATGAAGGCATATTTAGTTTGAAGACGTGCTTGCGAAGGTGTCGTGGTTTAGTGGTTCACTGGTTTATTCACTTGACTCTCAAATCCAAGGGTTGAGGGTTCAAATCCCAGCCTATCACTAACTAACGTCCTTTGCCTATACATTAATCCACATTTACCACTGATCTCCACCCAGGTGTAAATGGGGACCTGGCAATTGATGGGGTAATAGTAGCTACAGAGCCCGCATAAGACTTAACTATTTATGAATTATAATATAGTTATTAAAGCGTAAACAATGTTGATACATCGTGATGTAAGATCGTGAAAGCGAGTGAATTACCCACCCTTATGCTTAGTTAAACGAAAAAACTAGTTATTATAAATATATATTCGTGAATATTATTGTGTACGCAGAGTCTGGTTGATGGAATTGAAGATCAGTAATAAACTTCAAGCATGGTTTAAGATGATAAGATAAAGTATTTACTTCCTATTTTCTAGATTTTCTTGAGTTTCTGTTTGAGTGTTCAATGTGGTGATTGATCCCTAAAATCACGTTTACCCTCCGCCCCATATTGCTTACCTTCAAGTCTATCTCTGTGCTCATTACACCAGTGGAGGCCAAGGGCTGTACCCCAGTCGTGACATACGACGGTTATCTGAAAATAAACATGTGGAAAGGATTTTTCAACAATAGTAATAATATAATGATAATAATAATATGTCTTGTTTACCCAGGGTAGCCTCATCAGTATTCATACTGTTCTCCTTGAGGGCCCTGCAATCATATTATTACCCTGGTCATCGGATTAAGGCTTACCCGCACACAATGTATGCACATTCTCCACTCCCTGGGGAGCATTCCAGCCAGGCGTCATTTTTACAAGCGCAGACTTGCTAATCTAAGCACATTAGCTTTCGCATCCTACCGGGTACCCATTTAACACCTGGGTGGAGAGTGGCAAATGTACATCAATATGTTTTATAAGTAGAAGACATTATATTTGTAGATGCCAGATTTTTCCTTCGACGTAAAACAAACTTTGCACGTTTCATATAATATGATGTTGTAGGCGTTAGCATATTGTTAGAATCGTCGTTCTTTTAAAAATTCTGTTAACTACATGCATTATCAATTGAAATTCATTATTATTAAATATTTTGCTTCAACAGTTTAACAATACCGCTCTCTAAAAGTGACAAAGTATAAAATGAGTATCTTAACAAAAAATAAATTATGTCGACGTATGATACGTCTAACATTGTTAAATAGGCAAAATATTGAATAAACGGAATTGATCAGTATAGATACACAGGCAGGTCCAAGGGCCAATTGAACGCCCTTCCATCAGAGAGAAAACAAATGGAAACTAGGATATTTGTTTTCAGAAGAAGTACCATCCCGGCCATTCCGAGGTTTTGGGGCCGTTGAAGAAATGTAAACAAAAGAAGTTTATAATTATTATGAATGATGATGTACATCGTAATCCAACGCTTTACTCCTTAACCGTAACAGTTCATTCATTACGGTAACCAGATATTAATAAAAAGTACAAATGAGCTGTCACCAGCATTCTCTAATGACCAATCATTTAATGCTCCATATCTTAATTTATCAGTCGACTCTAGATCATTCTATAAAATTTGGGATGAGGATCTTTCATCAAGTAACATCCTCGTCACCATTGTATAAAATAATATATAACAGAAATAGTCCGAACATTTTTTTTGCTTGGGTCTCTGGCGTTTTTTGCGTGGACATTTCTCACTAATGCCCTCACTGTAGTGTTGTACACTATCTGAACACTAACGACCTCATGTTATTGAGTATTTCATTTATAAGCTATATTCTTCTAAAAAAATACCTTTTCTGGTAATTTGAGAGCATCAAACCAGGCTGACAGATAGCGGTAGTGATCCAAGAAGCGGTAGGAATGGCTAGCCAGCTTATCAGACCGGCCCATCCCAATGAGATCAGGAGCCAGACACCTGGCGATGGGTTCTACTTGGGGTATAACATTCCTCCAAAGATACGAAGACGTTGGGTTGCCGTGCAGGAACACGGCCGTATGCTTACCGCTCCTATTCTGGGAATCAGAGTCGTAATAGGACATCTTCGAACCTAAAACATCGACTTTCTTGCATTTTCCCCACCATTCATCAGCCGTCACCAGAGGTATCGTGGACTGAAAACGCGAGACCACTCTGGCAACTAGATGTACGCTAGCAATATGTTTATGTCCCAACATGGTTTGCAGACGACTTCCAATAGAACGGAACGCCATCTTGCCGAGCCTGACTATATAAACTTGACCCCGTATCAAATGTATTGAACCTGTTCCAATTTTCGGTTTGCATACATGCACTTATAAGTGGGAACAGTGTTCTGGTGCGCCATGCATTATGGGATATCTAGATATGAATAGGTGCCTGGACGGGAGGGAGCTGGGATCGAAGTGTGCTCCTGAATCGGCCGTTACGAGAGGAATCGTAGTCTGGTTGCGTGAAGCCATTCTTGAAATTAGCCTACTATTAGTTATGAAACGTTTTGAACCCAATATGATTTGCAGGCTTGCCAACGAACGGAGCCCCTTTATAGTACCGCGGATGAGTTGCCAAGTGTTAGTATTGGGCCCTAAGTCAACAATGAAATGGCAATATTTCTCTCTCTTTTTTCTTTGAACTTGTACTTCCACAAAATGTAAATAACCATGAGCGTTCCCGAAAGCGTTCCCAGGGTGGTATCACCTAGGTCGGGAAGCTGCATACTTTCCCAACGCTTTTTGTACGCACACAATATTAGCGTAGCCGGGTTGTGGCCAAGTGTTAGTATTGGTCCCCAGGCTAAGTCAACAATGAGATGGCAATGTTTCTCTCTCTTTTTTCTTTGAACTTGTACTTCCACAAAATGTAAATAACCATGAGCGTTCCCGAAAGACAGATCTATTGTAGACATTTCGAATGATGAACCTTACCTGGTTAATAAATGTTTTTGATGCATGATTTTGGCTAAATCACACTTTAGAAATAGCATTCCATTTATTGTTGCTGCAGTCTCTTTCGTATTGTGGGAGATTAATGCAGGTTGTACTGGAGCTGTTATTTTGATTAGGTTATTATAATGATTGTTATAATAATTAAAGGCAACTTAATGATGCAATTTGTCGAGGAGGAACAGCATTTTCAAAATGGTGGATTTACACTTTCAACATGGTGTAGATAATACTGAACAGTTTAAATCCAAATCATTGTCAAACTATTATATATGAATATAATCTATTCAAATTTGAAAAGAAAAGGTCACACGAGAATCTATACATAATTGAGAATAATTGAATAGAAATGTTGATAGTTTGAATCTACGATATTAAAGTTTATTTGAACTGTAGCAGGCGCGGATCCAGGATTTTCCAATAGGGGGGGGGGGGCCGGAAATTTGAAAATTGCGCAGACCGTTTTTTCAACTCAACATACCAATACTGACAAGGTCATATTAGAAACACCATATACCAGTACCATTTTTGACATTTTCATCGGGGGGGGGGGGGAGGGGCTATAGCCTCTTGGCCAAAAAGGTAATTTTCTGGTTTCACAATTCGGCTAGTGAACGAAGCGAGCGAGCAACAATTTGAGCATAATATGTATTTTGTGAAAGTGTTATTTATCACCAAAATAAACGAAAAAATATTCGGGCAGCTCGCTGTTCCACCCCCCCCCCCCCATTACGCGTGAAGCGCGGAAGCTTTGACCTTTCATAGTTTAATGAAATTATTAGAGAAAGATGATTCGTTGTACCATTTTCAAATCTTAATCCCTCTCTGAATTAAGTTTTCCTCCTCCGCGCAAAGCGCAGGAGCTTAACGTTTCATTAAATTATTAGAAAAAGAAGACTATTCGTTGTACCGTTGTCGACTCTTAATCCTTGTCTGAATTCAGTTCCCCTCCCGCGCGAAGCGCGGAAGCTTTGACGTTTCATTAAATTATTAGAGAAAGAAGACGATGCGTTGTACCATTCTGGACTCGAAATCCTTGTGTGAATGCAGTTTCCCCCCTCCCGCGCGAAGCGTGGAAGCTTTGATGTTTCATAAATTATTCAAGAAAGAAGAGGATTCGTTGTTCCATTCACGACTCTTAATCTTTGTATGAATTCAGTTTCCTCCCGTCCGCGCGAAGCTTGGAAGCTTCGACCTTTCATTAATTATTAGAGAAAGAAGAAGATTTGTGTACCATTCTCGACTCTTATTACTTTACTGAATTCAGCCCCCCTCCCGCGCGAAGCACGGAAGCTTTGGCCTTCCATAGTTTAATAAAATTATTAGAGAAAGAAGACGATTCGTTGTACCGTCCTCGACTCTTTAACCTTGTCTGAATTGAGTTCCCGACTCCCCCCCCCCCCCCCTCCCCCTCCCGCGCAGAGCGCGGAAGCTTTGACGTTTCGTAAAATTATTACAGGAAGAAGACGAATCGTTGTACCATTCTCGTCTCTTAATCCTTGTTTGAATTCAGTTCCCCCCCCCCCCCCCCTCCCGCGCGAACCCGCGCGAAGCGCGGAAGCTTTGACGTTTCATTAAATTATTAGAGAAAGAAGATGATTCGTTGTACCGTCCTCGACTCTTTAACCTTGTCTGAATTGAGTTCCCGACTCCCCCCCTCCCCCTCCCGCGCAGAGCGCGGAAGCTTTGACGTTTCATTAAATTATTAGAGAAAGAAGATGATTCGTTGTTCCATTCTCAACTCTAAATCCTTGTCTAAATTCAGTTTTCCCCCGCCCGCGCGTAGCGCGTAAACTTCTGACGTTCCACTAAATTATTAAACAAAGAAGACGATTCGTTTTACCATTCTCGACTCCCAATCCTTGTCTGAATTCAGTTGCCCCCCTCCCGAGCGAAGCGCGGAATCTTTGACATTTCATTAAATTATTAGAGAAAGAAGACAATTCGTTGTACCGTTCTCGACTTGTCAGAATTTTCAAAAATGTTTCTTTGTCTGCTCATTTTTCGTCCTACGTCATCTTACTGCCCCTACCGCCCCTGGCTATGCGCCTGCTTCAAAGGGAAAATGAAACAATGGTGATTGTGATAGCACACAATAATAGGTTAGTAGAAATGAAAGGGGAAAAAGATATATTTCACCAACCATGGATAAATCACGGCCGGGAGCGTCATATCATAGTTTTGTGTTATCGGGCGAGGGCCGGGGCGTAGCGACCAAGCGAGATTTTGCAATGTTGAATGCTGAAATTATGCATTCTAGAAAATCCCTAAGCCCAATATGTACGTTCTTTCCGCTATATTTCTTTCTAGCTATATATCTAAATTTCCTGGGGGACGTGTCCCCCTATCGGGCCCAGGATTGCCGCCCCTGTCCATGATTACTACTAACATGCGTTCAAATACAAGCACAAACGAGTTGGTATGAGCTGAATCCAAATGAAGGGCAAAATAAGAGTTGTGAAGCGGCCCTACCGTTAATTTAAAACTTGACTGTTGAGAATATAGCTTCAATTTAAAAGACATCCAAAATATTGTGCCTTTTTCAAATTTCTCACTAAAAGAGTGATGAACTTTGTAGCGCAGGGGCTGTTTTTAACGTTTAAAGGGATAGTTGAGTTCTGTTTTCAGACCGCAAACGCCTTCAAAGTGCATGGTTATTGCTCTTATTCTTATCTATGACATTTCTAGTACCCTTTGAGAACCTAAAATTGCTATGAAGGTCATTTTAGACCCCCAAATGTGTGAAATTTAGCCAATACGAGCATACCAATCCAGCTCCACTTTAAAAAAAACATGGTGACCTTCAATTGATGATTTAATTAAAAATAACAATACATGGGCCGGCTGGTTGTGCGTAATATAAGCAACACGAAAATTTGCTGAAATACAGCGTAAAAGGCGTTATTTCGTTTTTTCCAACGGTTTTTTCAAATTTTTCAAAATATCGAATATTTGTGGTGGTACACAAGTATTAAAAATCGTTATATTTCAGCCGTCTCTGAACCGATTTTGATCAAACAAAGATGATTTTGTCATTTAAATATTATGTTCTTTCAAATGTGACACTCAGTTTTTCATTATCTCACATTTTTTTTATTTTGAGTAGCGCCCTCTGCAACAGAACTCAACTATCTCTTTAACTTTGAATCCGCGCTCGAGATTGTATGCGGCCGGCTCGGTCCCTCTATTCAATAACGTTTGCCAAGCCTTTGGAATGACCCCAAATCTCCCGATTACAGTTTTCCCTTATTCGTCGTTACTGTCACTTAGCGCCATTTCCTTGTCTTTCCCCCTTTCTCACCCGACTTTTCTCTCCCCCCCCCCCCACCCACTCAGTGTTATCTATAGTGTACGCACATGTATGTTCCCTCTCTCTGAAAGCACCCCTCTATCTCAGGTGTGTAAAGTCAGTACGGGCCGGATTTTTGTTGCGTGAAAAGTAACTTTTTATCGGAAATTTTGGGAACACAAATTCGGTCCCTCCGACCCCGGAGTGGGAGGGACTGGGGGGGGGGGGGGTTCTTCTTTATCTTTTCTCTTCTCTTTTCTTTTCTTTTCTCTTCTCCTTGTTTTCTCCTCTTCTCCTTTCCTTTTTTCTTCCTTTTTTTGCGCCGCCAATAGGGGGGGGGGCCGCGGCCGTTTCGGCCCCCCTGGATCCGCCACTGCTATAGTCAAATTGACGAGTTTCGGGTTAATATTGAAAAGCTGTTCTTTTATTTTTTAGGAATCGGTCGTCATAGGAGTGTAACATTTAGAAAATGATAAAAGGAAAAACTAATATTAGAGTAAAATCTACCATTTGGAAAAATTTGCCACTCATCGGCCACTTTAAAATTGACCTTATATTTGAGGCTTTGGAGCGTGATCTGTAAGGCCTGTGAAGGCAAATAGGCCAATGTGTGCACTGCCGAATTGTTTTCAATCATGTCCTAACCCTTACTTATATAGCATGTCAATGACCTTACTAGTCGCTTATAATGCAGTTCTATTTCAGACAAAATGAATGACGCCCAGTGTACAATGGGTGTCACAACTTGGACCGTCCGTTATACCCCGTTCACACATAGACGCCGCTTCTATACTACGATGGAAAAGTGGCCAAGAGCCAGTCGGGGCTTATCGTGGGCCAAACGTGGGAGGATCTCCATGAGCCTGGTTTGGTCGGGTTAGGATCACCTAGGTTAAGATGCTGCACACTCTCCCCACGCTCATTTTGATCATGCACAAAATAAGCATAGCCGGGTCGTGGCCATCAGCGCCTTTATCGTACAAGCAGCGTGGTAGCACCGTGCTGAGATCTCTGTGGTCGTCAGAAAAACGCAGCACCGTCCGTAACTATTTCGAGCCGTTTTAGGCCGTTCATTTTCGAAGTTGGGAAAAAACTGAATGCTTAAACATCCATCGACATTTCCATTTAGGGTCGTTGCACCCCATTTCCGGTATGGAAAAATTGCTGGGCTACACGAGAAATATTGCACAATAAAATCTAAATTCTGTGCAACCCGAATATTGTGTGTCTAGAATGACGCGACTTTTAATTTGTTTTATTTGTATTTCAATATAGTTTTAAATTATGTACATCCCAAAATGTAAACAAATAAGAGAAAACAATCACTTATCAAAAATGTGATTGGATAACCCTTAACCTGGATATACATTTTTTTTAAATAGAAAACAAATCTTTGAGTTTGCTGAATCATGCTCGAAACTTGCATTTCGCCGTCATGTGCAGCTGCGGACTGACGTAGCCCATTTTGGTTTAAACAGCGGATAGGTCTCCCCAAGATTCCTTTACTAAATCTTTCTTTCTTTCTCCTTCTTCTTTACTTGGTCTTTATCTCTCATCCTATCTCTGTCTTTTCCATATTCCGATCTTTCTTCTTTTTCATCATCATCATCATCATCATCGTCATCATCATCATCTTCTTCTTCTTCTTCTTTATTTCTTTGAGCTATTCTGTCTAACATAGCTCATCTGTCCGTCCGCCCGCCTCTCTTAAAATCTCTCTCTCAGACAGGTCTTATATTTTCAGCATTCCCCATTCTCATTATTTTCAAGTCCGATATCCTTTTATAATCATCTATATATTCTTAAATCCCTCTTCTTTCCCCTATCCCTCAGCCTCTCTCTCTCTCTCTCTCTCTCTCTCTCTCTTTCCGTATCCTTCTTTCTCTTCCTTCATATATCAGCCTCTCCTTTTTACTTTCATTTTGTGTCTCCCTCCCTCTCTCTCTCTCTCTCTCTCTCTCTCTCTCTCTCGTTCGGTATCCTTCTTTCTCTTCCTTCATATATCAGCCTCTCCTTTTTACTTTCATTTTGTGTCTCCCTCCCCCCCCCCCCCCCCCTCTCTCTCTCTCTCTCTCTCTCTCTCTTTCTCTCTCCCATATTTCCTATATTGTTCGCTTGTTCCAGGACTGGTGTACAGTTTAATATTGCTTTGTTGTCCCCCTTTTGCACTTGTTAAAACCTTTCTATCCATCCCCTTGCCATTGCCCCTCTTTCAATATTCACGTCACACATTATACTTTTATATTCATAATCTTTCCTCACGCTATCTTTCGCTCATCACAGCACCGACATTAACACTTCGGTTGCTTTCTTTGCCCTTGTGCACCGTCACTCGTTTGGCACATGTGTGATTTTGCACAAAACAATACTCACCAATTGATGGAAGTGTTGCGTTGTGAAAAACAATGACATTGAACAATTTCCCTTTGAGAATCCAATAAGCTCCGTGATAATCCTTTTAACACGGGTATAGATTAATTTTGTACGGGAAACAGTTGAATTATCTTGAAGCCTTTGGTATATCTATTCCATCATAGATACAAAGTGACACAGGAAGATCATTTGTGTGACACAGTGAAAGAAGAACCACGTGACACATTCAATGTTGAGATAGGTAGCTTTATTATACAAAACGTTCAGTGAAGCATAGTCATGTCAAGTAAACACACTAAAATATAAGGTCGCAAACAATATGACGAAGGAGGAAGCAACGATTGTAAGGTAAATATCACAATTTAGAATCTTAACGTAAGAAAACAAAGCAAATAATCTAACATTTTGCGGGCTATGTATTGTTGCTCTCAAAGAAAAAATAGTGATGCAATACACAGTTCGTGTTCTTTTTTCTAGCTTTACTTCATCTGACAGGAGAAGGGGAAGTGTGATTTAGAAGTACGGTATGAATTTTCTTCAGTGTATGTTCCTAAGGAAATAAAGTACGATATCGTTCGAAATCCATAGTCATTAGGGACAATTTTTTAATCAGTTTTCCCTCATACTTGAGCTTAATGTAAGCCGTTATACATCGCCGAGCAAATCGATTTTTCAGTGATTGATTTCCTAAAAATAATTTTTTACAAATATGGGATAAAATGTATTAACCCTAACATAAATAACATATCAGTTAATTTTCTGTCCAAAGATAGAGTAACTTACATTTTTCTTTCATTACACATATTGATTAAAAACCCAGATTAATACTGCTTTGGGCTGTTTCAGACAAACTGAGAAATTATTAAAAAAGAAATATCGCTACCTCAGGCAGCAATTTCTTTTTCTTTATGGAGAGTCAATCGGTTCGTTCTTTTTTAATCATTGATCTCAATCCCAAAGACAGTCTGTACCATCATAAATTTCTTGGTATTTTAAACAAATGTTTGAAATACTATGTAATACTCGTTTAGCTGATAGAGTTTGGTAAAGATTTTGTAGACAATTTTTGTGAACTTTGAATTGTGAATCCTGAAAAGAAATTATGTGAATTTTGTTGCTGTGTGTCTAAAAGGGGGTTATTATTACATGAGAACATTATCATTTCAAAAGATCTGAATATGAGCGAATTGAACGGTCAGTGTTGTCACTCCAACTCATATAGCATTTATGGAGTTACAAACGAGGTAGCTAATTCTTCAATACATATTTTGAAATAAATTGAGGAAAAAGCTGATACTATCCTGACAAAGTGTACAATGAAATATCCCGACTTCGGGCTACTAGGAGAGAGACTACATTTTACTTTCACAACCACACTTGTTACGTTTCTTTATCATGTTTTTGCGAAACTCACTTATTTTGAATACGTTTCTTTTCTATCAGTGGAGAAAAAGTACACATAATTTCATCACAATAAAACATCCACAACTCTTCATTGATACACCTTTTCAATCAATTTTGAATAAAGCATTTTATCCATTACATGACACCATTACATGATTGCTTTTACTTTACACTTTAATTTATTTTTCAATCAGAACAATTTGTCAACGTGGAGAGAAGTGAACAGTTCATGAACCGGAAACCTAGTGTGAAAATATGGTCAACAAAGACACTTCATAACGTCTTATTTCTAATAAACGTAGTAATATTTTGCTATTTAATAAAGAAGTCGTCGGTCACACGTGTATTGCAAAACCACCAATCAATTGACGGAATTATTTTTAGATGTTTGGTTAAGAATGAAAATGAATCTTAAAAGTATAAAAACAATATAAGTTTCATTGCCTTTTATCAACACACACATACATCGAAATGCAGCAAAGTGAATGAAATGGAACTTAACAATGCGTTGGTGGTCATTATACCGATAACAAAATAATGACATTTTTGCTATGACGATGATTGCGGAGAAAATATACTTTGAGTTGACCCTTTTGGTCCATGTTATAATATATGTTATCCTATTAATAATGTGATAAAAGCACGTATCTTATTTTATATCTTGTCTATCGTCATCATCATCATCATCATTATTTATACCATGATATCGACGTTATCAATGTTCTCAAATAAGCCTATGTGAATTTAATTCATTTAAACTATTTAACGAACAAAGATTCTAAATGAATGCCATGTTAGCCCCATTATACTTCATCACTTACCACATCACTTTGCTTTTCCATAGCCATTCACACATACATCCAAACGATCGACTATATTTTCGTAATATTTTTTACTTGTTCTGTAACACCTTTAAATAAATTGAATATTAATTGACATAACTATGTTCGTTACGAATAGCTGCAAAACTTACAAAGAAAATTGTAAATGTATGAATTCGAAAATCAATGCAATGACGCGATAGAATGCGACATCAAAATCCCATATCAATAACTCATATAGGTTACATCTTAGTATGTTTTCTTTTAATCTAGATTATTTTTCTTATTTTAGACAAAACTGAAACTGAAAATCATCTTTTAATTTAATCATAGTTACAATGGCATCGTAATGTTTAAAAGTGCCAGCGCACAGAGATGAATCATAATTATGTCTTGTTAACACCTATAAATAAAGAGACATTGATATATTCCATAAAATGTAATCAAATACTGTATTACATTCAATTATCACAGAAAACATTTCATGATAATTGTCTCACCCTGTATTAGTTAAAAATAGATGGACCTAAATGTATATTCATTTCAGAATTTCAGATCGCAAGAACTAAATATTCTTAAATATTTTAATTCGTTTCTTTAATCTCTTTATCGTTCACTTTAAATCCAATTTGAAGATTCAGGTTACAATTTCTTCAATAATTATTGATATTATTTTTCGGTACAATGACCACCAAGTAAAACCCTTCGGGTAGTTTGTTTATCTTTAAATGAAGGAGAAGAATAATACGAGCCTTGGAATCAATGTTAGTCCTACGAAAATCGTTATACTGCCCTCACCAGACCCGGAGTGGTAATTTTGTTGAATTGTTGCGAGTGAACGATAAGTCGTAGAGCAGATTGCCCCGGCCATCTCTGTATAAATTTTGGTCAGGGAAAGTAATTTTTACACAAGTTTGCCTGCTCTTTTTTTATATTTTGCAAAATAATAGGTGATGCGAAAATTACTCATTTTATAATACAAAAGAATCCATAATTTCAGTGTAAGTGAATCATAAAATTTGTGGAGTAGGGAGATATTTAGAAAGTAAAGTCTTCGTTCGTTTTGTAGCTGTATGTGGTTCTTTCTTATGCTTAATTTTGGATTGTGTCGGGGGTTTTTCTTTTTGTTCATTGATATGTGGAGATATTAAACAAAATAATTTGCCCAGGAATAACGTAATTCACTCCCGACCTGGTCAAAGGCTCAAACAGGCTCATTCTCCTAAATATGGAGGTGATTATTCCAATAAGGTTTATTCTTCAACTCCTATTGCAGAAGCAAAACTGACGATCTGAAACTTCTGAAAGGAAAATAATCGCTATAAATTTACAAAATAAATGTACATATAAAGTAAGCGTAAATAATATGTGCAGCATGCAAAATGTAAGCATGGGTGATATAAACGACATTGATTGATAATGAATACTATAATAGAGTCGTGCAAACGTGTTCAACTACAAAGCATTTCTACTGACAATTCTGGCGCCCTAATATGTTAAAGGCATTTGTTTTTCGCGCAGTTTTTTTTTTTCAATTCCAAATTTATAAACTGAACATCAATTCAATTAACAAATAGTAAACATGCCTTGGACATTTGTTTGTAAAAATCTAGCTCCCTTTTTTTCTCTCTAAAATGACATGATATGATATAATTCACTTTATGATAATAAATACTCTTTTATACAAAGATGATACACAATATTTACGTAATAGTTTCTCTTAATATAATAAATACAAAAATGTACAAGCATGCACTTCATAGGTTTTCTTTTTACAGAATGGTACACAATTTATATAAGATAGAAAATAAGAACTAACCGAAAAAGATGCAATTTACACTCAGGAGTGACATTTTTTGTTCTTCTGTTGAAAAGGGGGTAGGGTTTTCACTTTCCTCTTGCTATGCCAGTCTTATTAATCCGTCAAGTTTACTTTCGTCGTCTGAATATTTTCAAACTACATTACGTAATGTCAATGGAAGCGAGGAAATAGGCACTTTCATCCCTCATATCAAATTTGGAAAGGGAAGTACGTCCTTGTAGGTCTCCGGTGTGGTAATGGTTGCATGATGGAATGAATGTCGGCATCAATGCTAAAATGTATCCTTGAGTTCGAGTGACGATGAAAACAAAAAAATAACAAATTTAAACCACCTTCAGAATGAAATATAAAAGAGTTTAAAGAAATCCGTCAAAATGTTTCGTATTTGCAAACAAGAAAGCGTACTTGTTCCCTCTTCTGCAAATGTGACTTTCTGCCTTCCAGTATCTATCAGCACGTTTGAATAAGGTAATTTTATTTTACTGACATAATGACACTGTGCTTCATGATGAAGAAGTGATGATTTGTTAAAAGGCAATTTCTCTCGAGAAGTCAAGATTACATATCATTGTGTCCGCTCGTATAAAACCCGTCAGTAATCTAATGGTAAATATTTGCCGTTGATCAGCTGGGAATTCGACAGTCAAAGTAGACAAAGATCGTCTTCAGTCAGGTAAATTGTCCTTTAACGGTCTCCGTGATGTCTGCAATCGCTTCCTTAAAAAAAATCACACGCATGAATCCGCTGTTATTAGTTTTATCCGTACAGGGAATTCAGTCGTGCATCAATTGCTCAGTGTCTATACTATCGAAGTTGTCTCCTATGTAATACAAAGTTGAGAAGGTAGAGTTGAGAGCGGTTGTAATAATATTTTTAAGTCGTGTTAAAGGTACAGTAGTGTTGCTAGAGTTGTCCAGATGTGTCTTTTTAAATGCGTCAAAGCAGTTTGGACGATTTTCATTCTACGGAGTAAAATAGATATAGATAACCTCGCAAGTAACATACATGAAATGTCGTCATGGTCTTCTGATATTTGACTGTCCGGATTGTCTTCGTTCATCCTGATAACACAGTCACATCGACGAGACCAATACCGGACCGAACAAACAATTACTTTACTCCGAAGGGAAAATAATCGGTCGGTTTGGAATCGCTATGGAGACGTTTGGCGGTGTAATGCCTCGGTCAGACCACCGGACCAAATACAAACCGGCCCTAGACCGACTGATTTAGGGCTCTATGCAATTGTTCTTCCGGTATATTGTCGGTCTTCTGTTGGACTCGTTTCGGTCACGTTGATATGACTAAGGTAAACTACACTCGTTCGCGGTCGAGTGGCGTCATGTCAATTGTCTGCTATCTACCTGCTCTGAAAGAAAAATATTAATTTTCAATGACTAGGCCTATACATATATGTCTCTAGTTTTTCGGATACTCCGTCTTCAGTTCTTGTCTAACTTGTAAGGTAGTAAGTTGTGAAAGCTGACTACAGAATGTCTCGGTCATGACTATGTATATTCATTTGGCTGTCAAAATTATCATAACATGCGTCCATTCGTTTTTGAAGCGATGCCACCTGATCTGGCGTTATAAGCTTTTTAGATATGAATAAACAGCTTACACGACAATATTGGTGACCAACGTCAGGCTACAGTGTCATCATTATCTGAATTTGGAAGTGTTGCTATGTAAGCTACCTAGCAACACATGTATACCCCTTGTATCCCTAGGTTTACCATTATGGCTGGCCGTCAATGCCATCAATATTGCGATCCATAAAAGGGTCGATCTTTTCCATTAACATAAATATATAAGTGATCTTTCTTTGAAATCAATCTTGAAAGGTAGATTTTGTTAAGCAGTAATCCACCAAAGGTCGATCTAATGTTTGTTATGCCGGACACAGAACTAGCCATTTTTCGAGCGAGAATCACCCTTTTTTTTATCAAACCATGAATCCCAAATATTTATTGAAGATCCTGTTTTTCCCCCTTAACAGTCTTCAAAAAGATGTTTGGATTACCAGACATAATCACAGGATGGCTCGTCCTCAACCTCTGCTTGTACCCAAAAAATGTCTTCGTAAAAATTATTTATATCTCGACATATTTCGACATTTTTATATTTGATTCGAAAATCTCGTTCTTTGTATGGCATCAACTGCGGCCAAAAGAGCCTCCACCGATATTCTACGTCAGTGGTTTGCGTAGCTATGGTAACCAGATCAATCCCGGTGCGGTTTAGGAAGGCTTAGGTCGTACAAAAAGTCGTTGTCTTAGTAAATGATGAGTGTGCATCAAAGTCAAGTTTATATTAGCTCAGGTAAGTCTTTGATAATCCTCCACACCAATCCTATTTGGTGACAGTCCAAGGGAGGAAATGACGTTTGGATCCAGGTAGCAGTTTTGATAATCTAAATAAAACCTTTGTTGGGGGAATTAAATTCCATATCACGCTCATTTTCTTTCGCAACCCAATATATTCTGCAGATCGAGTCTGGTGCGTGCGTAGTCGCGTGCCTTGAACTTTAGCATAATTAGAACACCTAGGTAGATGGGGAAATGGAAATTTATATTAATTTACACAAGAGTAATAAACCTAAATTTTTCTAGAGTGAATAAGCCGATGAGTGATAGATAGCACTGTAAGGTTTGTTGGCAACATATTAATTAAAGTGGAGTACGTCACTGTAATTAGTCTCTTCTAGCAGTTGTTGTATCACTTCGTCCGACAGTCTGTGAGACAGCTACGGGTTTCGACAACCAATTTCAGAAACCAAGTCCGACTCTTTAGTCGAATAATCGTCAAAATTCTCGGTAGCCAGTTTCTAGAAATATATAACAATTTTGAAAAGGTATCCTACAACTATTGTTCATCTGGAACAATTATTTACTCAGAAACATCATCATTTAGACACCCTCCCGTTCAAAGATAGTTGCCAGGCGACGGGACTCGACTGCATCTTTCTAGCAGTATGGATTTGGTATTTCATGGATAGTGGTGGCTCGGTTAGTGTTTGTCCAGGCGGTAAATGTCCATAGGGTTAGCCAACGTTCAGTACGGGTTATTGTTCGAGTTGTTGCTGTCTGTAATCAGTGACTGTCCAAGAACTGTTGACCGGATGTAGCTGTTCTACAAGGTAGTTGTCATGGACTCGATATCAGATACAGTTTGTTTGCATAAATTGGCGACCCCACTGTCCAGTCTGGCTTCCATGTCACTGAGTGGTCATCAGTAGTCAGGGTGGTTCATTCTCCAGTGTTCTCAGTTCAGTCCCTGTTTAAAAACCTCTCAAATATTCCAATTGGTCAGTCAGGTTCTATCGCCTAACCGTATCCTCCACCAGCCTCATTCGAAAGCCCAACTATTCTTGTCACACATTCATATAAATCAGTCAAGTCAACCAGTCTCGGTCAAAATGTCGCAAACGGATCTCGGCAACACAATATTTGCATCTTGTTTTGGTGACCAGTTCCGTCTACACAAGACTGCCTTCTTGATACAACACAAGTCTTGGTAGCTAGTCCACGTTAGTTCGCGAGATTGGCAACCACACGGGTGTTTTATTATTGGTCAGTACCATCTAAACGTTAGTTCGACAACTCGATATAACATTAGTGACTGCGAGTGAAGTTGTCCGGCAAGTAGCTGTCCTTGACTCTTTTTAGCAACCGTCTGCTAACCAATCTTGACAAACTCAAACTCTGTCAGAGTGTCGGTTAATATGTCAACGTGCTCAAGAGGTTATTTTTGTATCAATATGTTTGCTCAATAGTTGTGGGAAAGGGTGAACAGTCAGGTGATATTCAGTCTTAACAGTCACTTTAAATACATAAATATTTTCCGAGATAAACGTCGGAGTTCATTTGGACCAAGAAGGTAATCAAGGTGTTAATTAGACAGCTCTTTGTGACAGTCGTTTGTTCGTTGAAAGAAAATAAAAGGTGGTACTAGAAGGTCCAATAATGACAAAGAGAAACATCGGTCCAAGTTATGGTCGTCAAAAATTAGAGTCTTTTCTGTCATAACGGTCATCATCTTGTTAACGTAGGGAACTTACGGGTGCAACATATCAACTTATTCTTCGTGTCCTCAGTGAATGATCGAGAGTCTAAGATCGAGTTCTTTCATTAAGTCATTGAAAGTGACTACTAGTATTAATAAGCATGTTCATGTTTTGTTTGCATAAACCTTGCGTCCCCACATTATTCAGTTGATCGTTTTCCTTGTCAAAAAAGGTAGGATATCATTATTGCCATTTTTACAAACAAACTGTAATGTTTAGAACTTTCATCAAGTGGATTTCAGAGAGATTCCAGTGCGTTTGAATGGCGGGTTACGTCAAGTGTGGACTTCACCGGGTTAAAGTGGACTTGATAAGAAAATGGGTCGCGTCTTATTTCCCGTTAACGAATGCGTCATAGAGGAACATGGTCAATATGGGAGGGGTCAGAGGTCGTCATGAATAGAGTCAAGATGTGCAGTATAGAGAAGTCCTATCGATCCGACATGATGCTATCGATTTGGTGCTTCCTGCTGTCTGAGCAGATAGTCACGTGGTCAGTCTCATGTCTGGGCTGGCAAAACGGAGATAAACACCCAAATCTTCAATCCTGAATGCGTTTGCATTATGGTTATCAAAGTCCAATACTTTTCTCCATTTCTTAAATGACATTTATCAATCAGAATTAATGCTACACGGATGAATCGGAGGATACATTGGTGTAGTTCGTCGAGTGAGGGCGTTGCACTGGATGATTCCGTCTGACGCTGGTCTGGCTGGGTAATGATGCAGTGTCTGCCTTCTTGCCCACAAAGCAACAGCAGCAGCAGCCAAATGCGTCGATCAAGCCCTGACGGAACTTCTTATTCATGAAGCAATAGATGATTGGGTTCACGCAGGCCGAAGTGTACATCATCAGACGTATGAGCGTAACCTGAAGAGAGAAAACAACGATGAGTAAAAAATGTTAAGACGGAAGACATGACGAAACACAAAGCCTTATTCGTCTATGCCAAGGAACCTAGATTGTCAAATACTTTGTGAGAAAAATGTTTTTAAAGTGGATAAAAATCAATCAAACAATAGGTAGGAGCATATCTAACATTGATATTCGGGTCATGAACATCATTGGGGAAATTCTGGTACACCTACTCACCTCGACTACCCTTGGACACTACTAGTTCAACCCTGGATGTTTACACCTTAAGACAAGTACCCCGGAAACAAATTTCTTTCCACACAACACTATCCCTTGCAGTCACAAGAGTTGGAAATAGAAAGAAGTGTCGCTTCAGGGGAGTCTTTCACTGGACCGGTTGTTCAACATTTTACACATGGAACATATTCCTGCTCTATTTAATCTAAAGAATGGACTATGTTGATCACGTTAAGGTATCATGAATGTCTTCTATTATACCTGCAGAGTTGAAACAGATGAATATGCTCCCTTGGGGTCATAGGTCGCCCAGATGTTCATACTCCACGTGGGTGTCCAGCACACGAAGAAGAGTATGACGAGAACGAGCAACATCTTGACGACGCGTTTCTTCGCCGTGTTCGATGACGTACTCCTTGGTGTTGCGTGCGCGCTCTCGCCCTTCTTTGAGGACGCACCCGTGCCGCCGCGGGATTTCCGCAGGAAGCTCTCCGTGGCACTGCTGTCGTCCATTAATGCCTTTCGACCTTTCTTCTTCTTGCTCAGGTCGTTAAGGGGTGTTCCATTTTGTTCCTTTTCTGTGATAACAAATAACAGTAATGATTATAGTATTTCGTTTTCATATTCGATATGCTTTAACATATGTTTATCGTGGATTAGCTCACGTTGCCTTGGTCCATAACAAATACATCCTACCAACTACCAAGTATGTTATTTCTACCCCTGGGTCGAGCGAGTAACATGTAGATGATATGCTTTATATAATGGTATAGAGCCGTTTTAACGTTTGAACGAAGAGGACACGATACGATTTAGGATAATATCGGTCGATGTATTTGGGGGGAATATCTGTATTTCACTGTTGTTGTGTTCATTTCTTTGTTGTTTATTCAATGAAATTGTGCGAATATATTTCTTGGAAACCAAGAATGTAAGACAAAATTGCGTTTAACACGTACTACTAACGACGACTTTGGTATTAAAGTTTAAGAACTTCTTTAAAAACATGTTTGATGCCTGCACGCAAAGTAAAAATCTGTGCATGTGTCTTGTTTCTTATTGAACGCAATCGCATGCTGAATATCTCTGATTGAACGCGGGATATATTGCGAATTACTTGTCTTGGAAAAATGCATTTTTATCGGATAGGGTTACTGAGGTGCTTTAAGAAAATACTTCCAAAAGGTTATCAACTCCCACACACTTATTCAACTCTTTACACCATTTTTTAACTAGAGTGATCCCATCGCCCCCGCACCAAGATCACATGGCACTACTTCGTGTCTCTACAAAAACATTGACTAAGATTCTAGCTTCGACATCTCGAATTCATCATAATTTCTATTTTTCAACGAAACCATCCATTTTCTATCTACATAATTGATCTGACTTCAGACTAAAGGATTATTTCGCTAGAAACGCATTTTGTTCTTCTTCTTAATATGCCTTTGTTTAACGCACGATTTAAAAAAAGAATGTCTGTACGGCGTATAATGTCACATTTCTATCCATGCCGGGGTGTTGTATGCCATATTGACATCGAAAAACGTGTTTGAACCAAAGAATGAAAAGAACTACTGGAAAAAATCCCTGTTTGAACAGCCCCGGTCCTTGTAATGAAGTTTAACGGATGTTAAACACGATGCGAGTGCTCATAACTTTTTTTTAAAAGAATCTTCTTTTTACAAAAACCGTCAATTGAAAACATCTGATTTACTTTCATCTATTGTTACGATAACTGAAACCTCATGAAACAAGTAAAACACGAGACACGGACGGCCATGGAGGCGGGTCGAGGCAGATGAGAGAGAGAGATTATATACAGATAGAAAGGTGAAGTAAGGAGAGTTGGGAAGGATTTCTATGTAACTGTTGGTGGTATATTTCCAATTAAAAGGTACACAGCTAGGATTGTACTACTACGACTACTACTACTACTACTCATGGACGAGTGGATATGTCACCGGACTGTGGATCACAAGGTCCGCGGTTCAAGTCCCATCGCGGCACTAATGTCCTTTGGCAAGACATTGATCTACATTTGCCACTCTCCACCCAGGTGTTAAATGGTATACCCGCTACGGTAAGATGCGAAAGCTAATGTGCTTAGATTAGCAAAATTGCGCTTGTAAAAATGACGCCTGACTGGAATGCTCCCCAGGGAGTGGAGAATGTGCATACATTGTGTGCTGGTAGGCCTGAATCCGATGACCGGTGCGATAATACATATATCTGTAAAGCGCTTTGAGAGGGCCTTCAGTCCTGAAAAGCGCTATATAAGAACTAGCTATTGTTATTACTACTACTACTACTGCTGCTACTACTTCTACTACAGCTACTGCTTATAATATTCATAATGATGAAAATAATCTGCCATTTTTGTATGGGGCATATGGTATCATGATATACCGTCTCTATGTCCTTTCAAAACACTGTGCCCACATATAACTCTCGCTCGGTGCATTCAAAGCATATTATCATAATTATTACTGGGGCAATATCAAAAATAAATAAATGTTCAGCCCAGCAGTTATTTCAAGAATTCTATGAGCTTGCTCTTCTGGATCTCAACTGTGTTCTCTCCACATTAAACCAGTATGATAGCCGTGACAATAACCTCGTATTCAAAGGACAAAAGAGCAGATTATGAAGCTTTGTTTCTGCTCCAATCTTTTATGACTATAAAGCCTCGGGGAGTATGCAGCGTTTGAAGACAAATTAATAACGCCTTTAAAAAATTAATATTTACTCCCCCGATGCAATTGAGGTGATCTCTAAAATAATACCTAAAAGAGTAGATTTTCTTTCATGTACATTACGAGGGTAATGACATGTTCCTCTTGGAATAAACAGAAAAATACTTACGTGCTTTATCTCATATAATTTGATGGAATCTTTTTAATAATTCTTTAAGCATCAACGCACTTATTCAAGTTGTATGGTTTCATTAAAAAGTTATTTACTCCATTAAAAAAAATATATATATCTACGATTTTTAAAACATCGGGTACCATTTGGCCTTTCTTTCTTTATTTCTTTCTTACCTCTTTTTGTGTTTTGTCTCTCATAGTGCATTCCACGCCATAGCTCTCTGATGATCAACGCGTATGCGATACACATCATAAACAGCGGTATAAACATCAAGGCCATGAAGATGGATGTCTGTCGAGGTAAAGGTAGAGAAGAGAGAAATGGGGGTCATTACATCAAAGCAAGGTAATATGTTTGTACTCCAAGGTAGACTTTTATGGGCGCCATTGTGTACATGTAAGCTTTGAAATCAATCTTAACTTTAGTTTGTCATTAATCACACACATAACCAATCAGAAGCGGCAAGTTAGTGATCGTCAGTTTGTGATTGATTGCTAGACTTGCGATCGATTTGGACGGTCGCAAGTTAATAAGACCAAGTCTTAATTTTTGGAGCTGAAACTAAATTCATATAATGTTAGCTAGTGATTAATTGTTGGAAAACAGATGATTTTTTTTAAACGTTGAAATCATTTAGAAGATCATGTAGTACACATTTTCATTGTAAGAAGCAGATTACTTGTGAATCAAAATATTGACTTGGTGTTAGATAACATGTATGTTTTCTCTCCAAATGTAGACAGTCCTACTCGACTATTTTCACCACCCTCTCTTTTTTTCTTCCTGAATTCCAGATAAATAATCATATAAACGACAAAATCCATGAATTATAGGCCCATTCCAGTACGGAGAAGGCACACATAAATATTCATGATATATTAGCTATAAACAATATTCACATGCACGTACTTCCATAAAATAATGTTTATTCATAACAGACGTGACCCTTGTGTAGTCGCGCATGTACGTCCATTCACATCAACAACCGCCACGCAACCACACACCAGCACAAAAACACCCACACGGATAACATGGCTAGTTTCAAAACACGGAATGGTAAATCCTTTAAATAATTTTGATTAAAATGCACTGGATTCATAAGGCCAATATTTGTCTTGTAACGTCATTGTAGAACTATATTGTTCATCGGTATTTTGATTATCATGACTTTCGTATACTCTTGTTTAATCAGTGGAAAATACTGGGAACTGAATTTATTCCATATCATTTATTTCTAAAATAATGTCGTCACCTCCTCTGTTCAATAACCGTTAAAAGACTTATTCTTAAAAGAGTAATTCTTCCTTCAAAAACGGAGATAGTTTAACTTTCCATGCCCGACTTGTTTAGATCCATGTGTAATGCATAAGTTTTGTTTAAAATATTGGTGTTAAATTTTCTGTCTAAAACGAATCGACACGTTTTATCTAAAATACCTTCTGTAATAACGTTTTCATTCTTATTCGGCGTAGTTAGGGGTATTAACTCAACTATTTGATGCATATTGAGCAAACAGACAATGACACGTGGCATTAGAGAAGGTTCGAATGCAGATGACTAGTCCTTAACGATATGTCGTCGACGCATCCAAAGATCATTCAACCACACCTGATGGTGTCTGTGTCATTACACTTTACTTCTCCTCTCCACATTCTTCAAGCACAATATTACGAATAATACTGTAACGATAGACACTACTGCGTCATGAGAATTTTTCATAAATAATAGATCTTAATATAATACTCGGTATCGAATCCGGGAATCTCTTGCAGGGGCACAAGTCCGAAAAATTCTACGGCAAGCAAAGAAAAGGGCACAGGTTTTTAGTGCCCTATTCTGGCTTTAAAAATTCGTAATACCAAAAGGGTGAATATGTCGTTAGCCCATGATTCGTTTCTTCTTCCTCCCCTTTTACATCCTCTTTTTCCCGGGGGAGGGGCACGCGTCCCGGTGCTCCTCGATCCGCCGCTGTTATATATGCTCATTTCTCAGCGCTATGGTCACAATCGCTTCGCAGCATGTTTCGGTTCTTCAATTGACATTTCTCTGACATCAAACAGCGTCAATTTAAGTCATAGGGGTAACATTTTGACAAACGACGTCAATTCTTTTGTAATATCCTTTTTATTGTAGACCATTATGCTATATACAATCACCAAGTTGATGAGCTTGAACTAAACATACACTTTATAATAGTCTCCCTCCATCTCAGGATATTGCGAAGACGCTTTGAACGCATTGCCTACCGTAACCGATTTGTCGATGTATTATGCCTATGAGAAATAACGAATTCAGTAATCAAGGGGTTAAGATTAAAAAACCGTGCAAGAACCCCATCGCGTTGGGTGGACACGGATGATAATTGGAGCATAAAACCAATAGGAAATGGAAGACATTTATTTGTTATTCTCAAAGAAATGAGAAGGTTGAGGGAAATTGAAATGACCTTGCCCAGACGTCAACCGAAATAAGAAAGGATTTATTAGAGATATAGGCCCGAATTCACAATTCTGGCCATAAAGTGTATGGAAAAGGTAACATATTTCAGATAAAGAAAGCATTGGAAATTTGCCATCGGATCTCATTTATGTTTATAGTAAAAAAGGACACACTGTTGAAACATTTTGTTGTTCTTCGTCTAGTTCTTTTCTTCTTTTTCTTCTTCTTCTTCTTCTTCATCATCATCTTCTTCTTCTTCTTCTTCTTCTTCTTCTTTGTCTTTGTCTTCTTATTTGACTTCTTATTTGACTTCTTATATTACTTCTTATATTACTTCTTATATTACTTCTTATATTTAAATACTTCATATGTTACTTCTTATATTACTTCTTATATCTTCTTATATTGCTTCTGATATACCTCCCAATTTACCTTTTCCCTTTAGCTTTCTTTTGGATCTTGTTCTTGCTCTTGTTATTTTTCTTCTATAACTTCTCCTTTAATCTTATTCTCTTTCTTTTTCTACTTCTATGAGCTCTGTCATTACAATCAAAAGTCAATGTACCATATATTCTGTGATTGATTTAATTGGTTACAATTCTCAATTCAGCTCTTTCTTTTCTTATCCAAAAGAGGGAACTAGTTGTATTTTTCGTAGATGACACAGCCATACAAAATGATTACAATCGACCAATCAATTATCTCTTACAAAGTTATTTGGCATAAAGAAAACTTGATTCATTTTCAAATGGTATAACAGTCAAAGCTCCGGTCTTTTCAACCACTATCTTACTAAAAAATGTATTGCCCTTAATGTCATGTATAGTTCCAGTAATTTGGTGATTGCGGATCACTATATCAATATATTTCTTCAGAAGCGTGAGCTTTTATCTCAAAAGGTTACATCAAATTCATAAATCCCTTCTCTTTATCATTCGTATGTGACAACGCAATTTGCAATAGGCCCTATTTTAATTCGCGTGCGTCAGATGAATATTGAAGAAAAGGGGAGAGGTCTGCACCATCCTCCATATACAAAACGACACCCACACACACACATTCACACACACGCGCACCCACATTATGTAACCCACATACGCGAGGTAAGATGTAGGTAATAGGATGCCATCAAATCTCCGTTCCCTAAAGATTCGACGAGACTTCTGTGAAAAGTTCATGTTTTACATTTTGTGAATTGTATGTACTTTGGTTCTTTGATAATAGAGAGAACAGGGGGAAATGTTTATGCCCTACCCACCCAAGGATGTGTAATAAGATAAATGTTATTGCTGAGGAGGACTCTTTAAGAATAAACTGACAAAATCCTTTATATCTATTCAAAACTACTTATATTCTTTTTTTAGGTCGGTAAACTTTTGATAGAAAGTGTGGATGAGCGTATAACTGGATCATAACCGAATGGTCACCGAGTCCGCCCCCATCCCCGCATACATCAAAAGTCCTACGACGCCACTTGCAAACATCGAGGGCGTCGCTGTAGGTGTCTTCATACATCACAATGTGCAGATGCGACGCCAGCGTGAATGCTGCAAGCGGTCATGAGAAACATTAAACTCGATCGGGACTTCGCACGGACTGGCAGCCTCATGGTGTGCGCGATGGAATTACGATTGGCTGTAATGGTCTACTGCTCCTGGCTCAATTAGTCATATTTCAGATGTGCATCATCAAGAAAGTGCAAGACAGTTGGTTATCTCACTCTCTGTCTCTATCTCTGTCTGTCTGTCTGTCTCTCTCTCTCTCTATCTCTCTCCCTCTCTCTCTCTCTCTCCCTCTCCCTCTCTCTCCCCTCTCTCTCTCTCTCTCTCTCTCTCTCCCCCCTCTCTCTCTCTCTTCCCTGCTCCCTCATTCATCTTTTCTTTTTGTAGCACCACTTTGAAGTATTGAAAATGTTACTCTAATACTAACGATGATTGCCTTGATTTTAACTTCCTCCCCTCTTTCTCTCTTTCTCTCACTCCATCTCTAATTTTTGCTCTATATCTTTCTAACTTTGTCTATCTTCTCTATCTCAGTATCTCTGCATTCCTCCATATAAGGAAAAGGTGCGATATGATTTTTAAACGCGTCAAAGTGAGGAAATGGAAAATTGTCCCAAAATACATTACTCAGACACAGTCGGATGAACTAGGTTAAAATACAAACTTCATCATTATATCATTATAGAGTTTTGCCAACACGGTTCGAGTTGGACACAATAATGGCGACTGCTGCTTTGTTGGGCAAGCACAAAACAAAAGAATAAACGCCATGATGTGACCCAGTGAAACCAAGTTGGCCAAACTCTGTGTATAGACCAAAAAAGTAGCATCGCCATATTGTACTCGCACTGTGTTGGCCAAACTCTCCTGTTCAATGGCTCTGCTTGCATTGTGTCATTAGGGACTTTTATGTTTGAACGTCGACATAGTGGACTGCTACGTGTAACGTCCTTTCAAGGCACTGCATAGGGACTTTTAGATTTGCACGTCGACATATAATGTGGACAGTTACGTGTGACGTCCTTTTAAGGCAATGTGATGTTCTTTTAAGGCATTGTCAGTGCCTTAAAATGACATCACACGTAGCAGTCCACTATGTCGACGTTCAAACATAAAAGTCCCTATGCAGTGCCTTGACAGGACGCCACACGTAGCAGTCCACTATGTCGACGTGCAAATCTAAAAGTCCCTAATGACACAATGCACTATGTCGACGTGCAAATCTAAAAGTCCTTATTGGCTGCTCGGCGGCTGGTGGTCAAGATCTAATTCACTTTAGATCGACACGACCCGCGAATACCTAGATTGCTAAAGAGTGTGAGCTCAAGGGAAAATGAAGGAAATCTAATCCTAAGCAAGTACGATAATCTCGATTGCCTCAATCGACGAGCGGTCAAATTGTGGTGTGAATTTCAAATGCCCCTTAGCAGGTGTTGAGGGGAATATTCTCGCGGTCTAACCCCACAATATTTTAACGTTCAAATTCACAAGATATCATAGGAAAAATATGCCCGTGTCCATACAGCTGATCTTTAAACGTTATTACTTAATCTTGTTCCCCGTTCTATACACGGCATTGTGTCGGTTATGAACTGGGTTACGTCCATACAGCTGATGAGTAATTGCGTTTCTCCATATAAAGTGCAACATTTCACACCGAAATATACCGTTCAAATTGAGACGATTTATAACACAAATTAGGTCTGTGTCCATGCGATAGATTTTTAATCACGATTAATAACGTGCTGCTGTCTATTCGACGTCAAAACGCACCCACGCAATTTCACTGTCAAATTCACGCGATGAAATATTAAACATAGGTATTGTTCATGCTGCTGCGTTTAAATCGCATTGCATGGTCCTAACATACTCACATCGAAATAGACTGTGTTCATGCAACGGACATTTATTCATGATTAGTAAATCAAGGTTCGCAGTCCATATAGTGTCAGATCTAACACTGCCTTCCTTAACACGTCCAAATGTGTTACGTCGTATTGTCTACGAAATGCCATCTCTTTTCGCTGTTCCTAGGTTGTGAGATATCTGCTAGTAGTCGCCGTGTGAGATCTTAAAGAACGCGCGAAGCGCGCTCCTTAGGGGGGGGGGGTTGGTGCAGGGAGGAGGAATCTTTGACGTTTTATTAAAATATTAGAGAAAGAAGAAGACTCGTTGAACCGTTCTCGACTCTTAATCGTTGTCTGAATTCTGCCCCCCCCCCCTCTCGCGCGAAGCTTTGACGTTTTATTAAATTATTATAGAAAGAAGACGATTCGTTGTACCGTTCTCGACTCCTTTTCCCTTTTTCTTCTTACGTCCTCTTACCTTTGTTTCTTCTCTTTCTCTCTTTGTTTGTTTTTTGGCCGGCGTTTTTTTTTTTTTTTTTTTTTCGACCGCCCCACCGCCCCCCGGCTACGCGCCTGTCATAATTATTATCATTATTGTCATAACCTCCACCAACATTGTCATCATCATCAGCAAGTTCTCTTTGCCCTCATACTTACGATGTACAGTTTGTGAAATTGGGTGGGGAACTTTTCTCGGCACTTGTAGTATTCGGTATCGCCTATCTTCTCGTGTTCCGTGTAGATGGCGAACGGGAGTAAGACTAAGAAGGACATGAGCCACACTGCCACGGTGATCTTACATGCCCTGCTCTTGGTCTGCCAGGCACGGGAGGCCAGGGGGTTGCAGATAGCGTGGTACCGCTCCAGAGAGATGGCACACATCGTCCAGACGGATACCGCCACAGATGCACCTGTTGACAAACGGACAGGAAGTTTGGTTAAAGGGATCCGGTAACTTTTTCCTCAGATTCTGAAACAAAATCCTGGATTTAGCTCTTGCTGCAATGATAATCATAAACCTTACGGTCAGTCAGGAACCCCATGGATTTTACAAGCCGATCGCCTGTCTTATTATCAAGATATTTCCGATTGGCAAATCGAAACCAAATTTTGCGTTTTCCTAACGGTTTTCCTAACACTACAGTCTATTGGGGAAAACGAATATGGTAAAACCGGTCACTCAAAGATTCTAATTTTTTGAGGCACTTCTTGATGGAAGAGAGACGAAAGTAAATGGAGACGGAGAGAGAGAGAACAGAGAGATAGAGAGAGAGAGAGAGAGAGAGAGAGAGAGAGAGAGAGAGAGAGAGAGAAATGCATTGTGGAAGAAAAAACGAAGAAAAAACAACGAGAAACATGTGACAAGTATGTGAATCTTTAGACAAAAGTATATTGCATTTTGATTTACATGACTTTACTCCATTTAAATTACTAGACACTGAATTGATAGTATGTACCCGTCACAGAAATACTGGAAAAAAGAGTGAAAATTATGTTAGTACAGACCAAACAGTCATGAGTACATACCTAATGAATATGTACCTATGATCTCACAGTTTAATTTTCCGTGTACTTATTTCAATATCTTTTGTACATCATAAAAAGAATGTATGGGTTTATTCATAGAAAGCTCAGACATAATTCTGATCTAAACAGATTGCTAAGTATGCTTTCGTGAATAAGAGGAACGAAGTCCGTTCTCCAAAGAAATTTTCTTTCAATTCACACTTATCCCGTTTTCTAAGAAATCAATTATTAGCATCGTTAAGAGTAATGAATTTCTTCGAAAAATCATGAATAATTGCTTTTGAATTCCATCATAAAGACTCAAGACCTATCAAGCGAAATCAATTGTCAATGGCTAAGTGTCTATTTAACCTTAACCTTACCCCGGGAGATTGGCGTTACTGGACCAGACTTTTTTACGACTTGAAGCTGCCGTGATTTGGTGGTAATTAGCTGTAATGAGGTCGTGAACTATTCGCCTGTTCCTTGTCGCCTAGCAAGAACATGAACTTGAGAAATGCTTTCAAACGCGTTAATTGATGTGGTCTAGTGTAGAGGAGGCGCGATAGCTCAGTCGGTAGAGCTATTCGCCTGTTCCTTGTCGCCTACCAAGAACATGAACTTGAGAAATGCTTTCAAACGCGTTAATTGATGTAGAGCAGTGGTCTCGTAATCCGGTGACCCGGGTTCGAAACCAAGGCGATTCGCTAGTGCCCTTTGGTAAGGCATTAATCCTCACTACCAGGTCCCTCGGAGAGGACCTAAAGCTGTCGGCCGTCTGTTTGCTTACTTACAAGCATTTATGCTTTCTTAGCAGATAAGCAGATAGGTATCCGGACTGAGAACCACAAGGTACGGGGTTCGAGTCCTTGTCGCAACACTAACTCCCTTTGGAAAAACATGAAATCTACATTTTGCTGTACCTTTACAGGGTATATGGCAGGGGAAATTACCTGAATGCACTGTGTGCTGATTACGGCTGCCGGAGCTAAAGCTAGGGTAATAATATTCAAAGTCCTTTGGAAGCGCATAGATACGTAACGTTGTATCATAATGTGGTATACATTACAAGAACGGCATATAATAATCATTATTACAATTGGGAAGGATGAGGAAAAAGGGTGAATGAAGAAAACTCCTCCAGATATGTAAGCTAGGACCAAAATGTGGAAGAACCAGAAAAGGGAAGAAAGACAGTGTGGTGTAAAGTAACCAAGACGGTGAGCTACAATGACAGAGTGGATAAAATATAGGGAAGAAAGGTAAAGAAAGGGGAACAACAAAAAGTATATAGGAAGAGTGGAAGAGCAAGAAAGGGAGATGCAAATACAGGACAGAAATGGCGAAGAGAAGAGATAAAGACATAGCGAATGTGAATTAAGAAGTGAAAGAAGATCGAAAAGATAAATCAGGAAGAAAGAAACGACCGATAAGCAAGATTTATATTGTCATCTCGCTATCTCTCTCTCTATCTCTCTCTCTGTAGCTTTAATATAAGTTATATTAAATGACTTTGAGCCGTGTAAAAAGTAATTTACTTGTCTCATATTATCAAAATATATGAGAGATACAGTCACGACTTGTAAGCAATGATTGATATACACTGTCTTGTTACAAGTCCGAGACAATCTTTGAACACCCTCCTGGCCTGGGGCACCCCAAGCCAGTAGTGAGAGAACGGAAGCTCGTCAGATCTGAATTTAAAATGAGTCTTGACACGAAACGTGTAAATACTATGAATAGCAGGGCAGATAACGTCTAATTAACCTACTTCATTCTGTGGTGATAGGGTAGAGATTGAGGGGAGTGTGGGGGGGGGGGGGTTCATGAAGACTTTGAGTTAGGAGGCGCAATGGCTAAGTGGTCGAAGTTTACAATGTGACCGACTAACTTTGAGCAATTTAATTCCTAATCAAAATTAATTCTTCCAGTTATTGATCAACCCAGGACCGGTAATATTTGTATAATTTGTGTTACCACGAACAGGGCAAAATATAGCCTGAAATGCCAAACATTACATTGCTTTAAAGTGGTGGGATACCGATTATTCGTCATCGTCTAAAGTTGAGCTTTAAAATATGATACCAAAAGAAAATTGGAAAGCGCCTATCTAAAATGGAGACTGCACTTTATCTTTCCCCATCGGCTGACAAAAAGAATATGGAGAAAGAGAAAATTGAGGAGCAAAAGTAAGAAAATAAAACGCTTTTGATTCTTCTCTCTATCCTTCCACTCCCTTGTATTTCATCAAACCAGTTTGACCAGTGACGCCCCAAAAGCTAAAGCTACACTACGCAACGGAGAGACCGAACATGACAACATGACAGACAGGTTGAATAGACGTGGAGCCGAAAGGAGAGTACACAGGCCTACTGGAAGCAGATTAATATGAGCTTTGCTCCCACACTAAGTTAAAGGCCCACTGCACTACTTGTAGCTACTTGCGCCCTCTATATAACAAACAATGCCTAATCGGTGACCATTGGTCCCCATGATCCTCTTTTTCTTATGTTAACTGAGAACTGAGTTGATGAGATAACCACCTGTCCAGTGATCTTGCAGGTCGCTCTAATCCCTCCTGTAAACTATGGCAGATAAGCTTTAAAGTGAGATTGGCATCGAACTATCTCGTGTTCCGAGCTAAGACATTGGTAAAAATCATTACATTAATTGAAAGTGGCACATGATACAGCTGTTTGCCAGCGCAAACTCGTCTCTGGCAGATGGTCCTATCCACACCAATCACGGTAGTCAATGAAATGTGTGCTGCCTCCATCTTTCTACCCACACCATTCCAGACTTTACGTGAGGAAATCTAATAACAAACTAATAATTACATTGACACAAATATTTTCATTGGTTTGAAACCACAGGAGCCGGGGCGCCATCTTTTTTTTGTCACGCATTATTTTGTAACGAATACATCTTCCATAACCACAGTTTAGAGGAAGTAACAAAACATTTCGGCCAGAAATAAATCTCCATTGCACAGTATATTGGACAGATTCCAAGACAGCAGTGAGGGATGGCATTCTGGGGGAACATTATATTACTTCAGCCAGTTTGTTATAATTTAGGAATTGAATGTAATATGAAACTGTATAATCTCTATTTGTTTTGTATCAAACGTTATCAATTTGATCGTTTTTAAAGGAACATAATCATGTTTATGTGCAAAATTATCTTACACTTATGTTTATCTTCAGTCACAGCTAAGATTTTAACCGTCCGAATCTTCAGAATTCTTCTTATCGAATCACTACACAAGACCCGTCCAGTGGTCTACACAGGCTTTGGCATGGCAATTCACGATCATATTGGGTGCATGGCTCTGGCAGGGGGGAATCTTCAATGTCTATATCAAACATCCGTTTATCTATCTAAAGGCATCGTGAACTAAATACAATCACGATGTTGACAAATTGAAATGTTTCAATATAAAATCATCGAAGTTTCAATCATGCTAACTGAATTACTGTAGAAAATTTTGAATGTTTTCTGAAGCATTACCTATCAACATCTCCTGAATCTCTGACATATCAACAAACATTTTATTAGAGGATTTTACTTATTATTTGCAATGGGGATCTGTATTTTTAGAAATGTTGCCCCAAACAATTAATGTTAAGCCTCGGTCACAAATGCCATTACGAACTGCTACGAACGCAGTACGAACGATTTTCAGACAATGGAAATTCGGGAAGACAATGGAAAAACAGGTAGATTCGTACGAAATTATCGTTCGTACGAACCTTTGTGACCGTATCATTATCCCCAAGAAGAATTGTCCACCCCGTATCTTCACCTTTCTATTCGTGTCTTAAGTTCTGCAATAGTTATTCAGATCACGAAGTGGTTAGTATCGACATCATGGAAAATAATAACATTGCGATGGTCTCGATGAATATGGACTTCTATACACGTGGCGTTACATTACCGGTACACAGATTATATTTCACATGCGATATAATATTGGCATTTTATTCTTCTCAAAGTAGGGCACTGTTAAGTTGCATGATGGAGAGGATTACAGCGACCATTTCCGTCTTTCACCAATAAGCGTCTAGTGTTGGTAAAACACGAAACGGTGAAACCGCAATTCCTTGATTGAGTTTAAGGTAAATCGACGAGAAGCATGAGAGTAGGCTGGGACCGTCAAACAAGTCTTCTATAAATCGCATGCATTTTCTCGAGAAATCCCCTACAGCCATCTATAAAGATATTTTGTCATTCAGGCTGATTCGCTAAATAGATTACAAAAACTATAATATTCATGTTGATATATCCACAAATAAAGCACCTTCAGGAAATCACTCAGGAGAAACGGGATTTAAAGGAGAGAAGGGGGGGGGGGCAGATTCATCAACCGGAAGTGATACTCCTAGCTGACCTATGTGGATCTTTT